GCCAAGTTTGTTGTGAATCGCGTTGTGCGTAAAAGTCGCCTCGCTAGATCACTCTAAATGTGGTGCACACTGCTACTCTGCCAAAATGCGGCTGCTTGTTGTGGTTGCTGTTGCTGTTTTAGTTGTCTAATGTGATGTTGCTTGTGGGAGACACCATGGAGACACTGGGGAGATATGGGATAAGCCGGAGAGACGCCAGCGAGACACCAGGCACGCAGGAAGACACACCAGAGGCACACAGGGAGACACCAGTGGGACACCAGTGGGACACCAGGGAGACACAGTGAGACACCAGGCACGCAGGGAAACACACCAGAGGCACACAGGGAGACACCAGGGAGACACCAGGGAGACACCAGGGAGACACCAGGCACGCAGGGAGACACACCAGAGGCACACAGGGAGACACAGTGGGACACCAGGGAGACACAGTGAGACACCAGGGAGACACCAGGGAGACACTGCCTCTTTGTTTGCCTGCCACGTGCTGCCTGCACAAGCGGGGGGCGGGGGGGGGGCGAGGATGGGGGGCGGGGGGCTGTTGTTGGGGGGGGGGGTAGAGGAAACCATGTGGCTACTGATGGCGGTGTTGGTTCACGCTCGCCCCCTCCCCCCACCAGCCCCTCCCTCCCCACTGCCCACATCCCGCGGTACCCCCCGCAACCCCGCCCCCTCTTCCTCCCCCCCCGCGCGTGACTTTGCCCACGTGACCCCGCCCACGTGGCCGCAGGGCCGTTGCCAGGCGACGCGGGAATGGAAACTCCTGACCAATTGTGGGGCGGCGCTGTTGCTGAGGGCGAATCGATTCGACGATTATATATCGATTCTTGAGTATTCGTCTTGAGGGCATATCGATTTGAGAGGTTAATCGATTCCTGAGTTCGCAATGCAGTAAAATATTCGCATGGAATCGGTTGTTAAATCGATATTTTTCGATCCACGTGACACCCCACCTCACAGCCACTAGAGGCCGCTACATTTGGAAGAGTGTTCGAGTCTTTTAAATGGGGAATTTGAGAATGGAGTCAAATTGACGACCAAGTTAAAAGCGACGCTAGGCGACCGGTAGCGTGACCAGCGCCTGTGCCGACGCGCGGAGTCAAGCTCCCCAGAGGTCAGTGACCTATGCTGAACTTCTTTCGCACCGTACGTAAGGGCAACACACTCGGAGGTGCGGGTGAAGGACAACAACAACGAGAGACGCAACAGTGCCTCTCTCTCTCTCTCTCCAGGTCGTCTCCAATAAGAAGATGGGTGGGGAGGGTGTCTTCTTTGGAAGTGAAAATGGAGTTGATAGCAGTGATAGTGACAGGGTGGTGATGGTGTTTGGTGGTGGTGATTGTGTGCCTTGGTGGTGGTGATTATTGAGGCATTGTAGTAATTGCATTTGGTGATGAAGTTGATGGTGGTAGTTGAAGACCGTGATAATGGTGCGTTATAGCTTGTGGAGTTGTGGCGCGGGGTGCATCATCACTTGGAATGTCTTGGGGTGGTATGTCTCACTCATCATGGACACCGTTTCTTGTCTCGATGTGTCTCATCTGTGAGACTCGTGGCGTGCCTCGGCGTGTATCTCTGTGTGTCTTGGCGTGTGTCTGAGTGTCGTTCGTGGCGTGTCTCGGTGTGTGTCTCGTGGCGTGTCTCGGCGAGTGTCTCGGTGTGTGTATCGTGGCGTGTCTCGTGGCGTGTCTATGTGTGTGTCTCGGTGTGTGTCTCGTGGCGTCTCTCGGTGTGTGTCTCGTGGCGTGTCTCGGCGAGTGTCTCTTGTGTCGCGACGTGTGTCTGAGTGTCGTTCGTGGCGTGTCTTTGCGAGTGTCTCTGTGTGTCTCGGCGAGTGTCTCTTGTGTCGTGACGTGTCCCCTGGGCGCTCACGCACACGTGGCGGGACTCGGGCCCGCTCCCCCCGCCCGCTCCCCCGCGCCTGCACACGGAGGGGGGCACAGGAGGAAGGAAGTCGGGGGAGCGGGGCCCGGGCCACTGGGAGCCGCGTCGGGGTAGCCAGGGGAGCGAGGGAAGACTTGTGGTGTGGTGTGGGGGGGGAGGAGGAAGAGGAGAGGCAGGATCGAAACTTAAAAGGTCCCACTGAGTCGATGTCTCCATGTGTGTCCTTGTCCCTCAGGTCTGCGTTGTCTGTCTTCTTGCCTTGCCTCTCTCCTAATTGTCTCATTGTCTCTCTCCTATCCCATATCTCGCTTGTCTCACTCCTATTCACATCGCTCTTGTCTCTGCCCTCGTCCTTCTGCACGTTCCGCTCTCTCCTTGACTTGTTCCTCTGTCCCCTCTCGCTATCTCTCGTCTTGTACCTCACCTCGTGTTCGTGTCTCCTCTCTCGCATTACGTTCAAGGAGAAGAGATGGGTACACTGTGTACGAAAACTAAAATAGCAGACTTCGTGAGGGAACTGGAGTTTGGGCTTCCGCGGATTTCTATGCAAGGGATCTTCTTGTTGAAGTCAGTTGTAACTTCCAAGGCTTCATCATATCATTGTCTTTCGCACTGCAGGGAACTTACGTTTAGAGTTTCAACAGCAGTAAGCACATCAACGCAATAGCAAACTTTGAGACAGCATGGGGCTTTCGCGGATTTCTAAATAGGAAACTTGTTGACGGCAAGTTAGCGATTCCGTAGACTTTATATTTAAACCCGTGAAGTGCATTAGAGTTTGAGCATTCGTGCTTCGCTAAATACTGTCGTATTAATGATGCTATCAGAACCACAATTTCGCTTTAACCTTTAGAATTCTTTGTGTGACCACTTGTTGAGACGGGGTTACACCTTATATTCTTGCGTAGATTTAGCGCGAAACTTTTGTTAAAGGTGAGTCCTTTGACCTTTTGGGATGCTCAGCACGCGTTGCGCAACTCTACGAAGAAAAATAAAAGTTAGGTTTGAACTTCTACGGATGTACGTAGGTAGCTCTTGGAGATTCCGCGGATTTCTGCTGGTCCAGATAGCCGCTGGGCCCCGGTCCTCCTTGGCACCACTTGCGCGGGCTGGAGGAGGGGAGCGCCGGCCGTGATGTGGCACGGCAGCTGCGCCCCCAGCCAGGGTACGAACTCCCCCCCCCCTCCTCTCTCCCCTCTTTAAACCTCCACCCCCCCGCCCCTCGAGGGCGCGGCTCGTCCTCCTTAATTGCCCTCATTAACGAGACGAGGTCACCGAGCCGCGTGGACCCCGATCTCCACCCCCCTCTCCCCCTGCTGCCCACCCCCACCCCACTCCCCAGGATGTGGTGTGCCGCTGGCAGCAGCAGCAGCAGAGTTGGTGTGGCTGGCCACCGTGCGTTCGTGGAAATCTTAGACGGGGCGGGGGTAGCGGCGGGAGGCAGGGGGACGAACACTCGAGGCGACTCTTCGGGAACGCTGACATGACACCACGGTGTCCGTGCACACGCGTGTACACATGCGTGTGCATGGACACCAACGCATGCACGTGTGTGTGTATATATATCATATGCATGGCTCTGTGTACATTGGTGGATTACACGTACAGTCGTTTGGAAGTGACGTATTCGTGAAGTTACCTTCAAACGTGGACGATACACGTGTGTGTTGGCGTACGGGTGTTCTGCAGAGTGAGTAGGTGTGTCACATGGAGGTACATGGACACACCACACACAGGGAGGCTTGTGTGATGGCTGTGTGCGTGGTGCTTCTGCAGCCCAGTGGGCTGTTGTTGTTGCTTGATGGAGTTTGTGGGTTTGAACCGGGCCAGTCTGTGGCGAGGGTCTCCTCACGGCTCTGACGACCTGGGTGTGGGGATGTGTGTCTTTGTATCTGGTGGTGGCGGGTGTGAGTGAGGAGAGTGTGGTGTGTGCGTAGGTGGTGGTGATGGTGCAGTGTGTGAGTGAGTGTAGGTGGTGGTGATGGGGTGTATGAGGGGTGGCGTCGTCAACACGAGTGACGATTATCTGAACCAGTCCTGCATCTCCCCTAGGTCGACTTAGACTGAAATGAGTGATGTGTAAACATTGCCACTGGGCAGACAAAGGCGACCGGGCGTGGTGATGGCCACCCACCCCCTTGCCGGCCTTAATAAGGTGATCACTGAGAGTGATGGAGAGTGGGGAAGTTTGCGCCTGGAAGTGGTGGGTTGGAGTTTGTGTATGGGTAGTGATGCGTGTAAATATGTGAAGGTGTGTATGTGTTTGTGAGAGTGTTGGATTTTTTTTAGCGATCTGAGTGTCAGTGTGTGAGATTGTGTTTTGGAGTACGCGTAGGAATCGTGTAGGTTTGTGAAAGTGTGTCCTTGAGAGTGTGAGTAGTGGAGCCGCTAGTGGAGTGATTAACTCGCTGTGTTACGAACCCAGCAACCGGAGTTCAATTCCCGCTCATGACTGATGATAGTGGCAAATATGTGAACCGATTCTGGACACTCATAGGTTGACCCTGCCTTAAACGAGAACCTGGTGCAGTGTGTAAACATTAGTGCGTGGTGCTGGCCTTAATAAGTGCTCGCTAACAGCACATGCCTCAGCAGTATATAAAATTATATGCGGGGAGCTTTGTGTAGTTTTGTGACAGTGTGAGGGTGAGAGTAGTGCGAGTGTTGGAGATTGTTCGTAGTAGAGAGGGTGTGAGCGGTGGGGGATGCAGGTTGCGTGTTTTGTGAAGGTTGGAGTATCAGTGTCGCCCTCTGGTGCCGAAACATCTCCCATCCTTCTCGTCATCCATTAAAAAAAACCCGGCAAGTCTCTCCCTGCTTCAACGCACGTGCGGCATTGCTTCCCTGAGCTGCAAGTGGAAATTCCACATTCCTATGGTCTCCCTTCGGCATGTAAAGATTCACCCCCGCCCCAAGAGATTGGATGAGTTGGCAGGATTAAAGGTTGTGACGCAAGTCCACAGCTTGTTGTTTGTTTGTCTCCGTCTCCTTCGTGTTGTTTGCTCTCCTTCACCAATGGGCCGTGCGTGCGCAGCCTCCGCTTGTGAGTGAGAGGTGGATTGTGATTCCCACCCTCCCCTTCCTCTGCTACTCCCCTTGGCCCTTGGCGGCCGCAGTGGTAGAGTGCGAGGATGACGAGGGGACGGCGGTGGAGGAACGGGGCGGGCGCTCCGCCCTGATTTCCGCGTCCACCAAGGGTCCCCAGGGGCCCCGGGGCTCCCAGGGGCCCCGGGGCTCCCAGGGGCTCACATTCGCTCGAAGGCCCCACTCCTCGCACGCGCCCCGCACCCTCGGTAAGATACCCGGCCCCCCACGTGTCCCGTGTTTGTGCCAAGATTTCGTGATGAACGTCGCATAAATAACGATGAACTATATTTATAGATGTCTATTAACATTTATATTGCACGTCAAGTCACCACGAAAAATCACGCTTACCATAATGCTGTAAACCATACTTCATCATGCCGGTGGTGGCATAATGAGTTGCATGAGTCAAGCAGGTGCAAGTAAAGATAACCGCGATCCTGCAACACCGGCGCTGGTAACTTGGCAGCGGCGGTGCCGCCTCAACCAAAGCCGCATCCGTTACCTTTTTAATGGTTTAATTTTTTATGTTGTTGCTCCCCTCACCGTAGCCATGGAGATGGGCGTCGTTATGGCGCCTCGCGGTTTCGCAGCGGCGGCTCTCCAGGCGGGCTCGGCACTTGGTTGCTATGGCGACGCCAACGACGCCGACGGTTGCTATGACGACGACTTGTCGTCGGTGAGCGCCATGATGTCAGCCGTGATGGGGGCGGCGCAGCTTCCCCGGCCCGGCGCTCACGCCCACCTCGTCGGTCACCACGGCAACCACCTGGATATCGACTGCGACGCCGGGGAGCGGGGGGTGGGAGGTGGGCCGATCACTGGGGCAGCGGTGGCGCTGGCAAGGAAGGCGGCCACGATCGACGGCGCACTCTCGCCGCGCTCGCTCTCGCCGGCTCCGGGACGCGCCCACCGGCAAAATGGCGGTGGCAGCGGCGCCCGGCGGCCGGTGGTCGGCACTGCCGGGGCGCCGGTCGTCGCAGCGACGGATACGTCGCCGGGAGCACCGGGAGATGGCGGCACCGGCTGCCACGTTTGCCGCGTGTGCAGGCGGGCGCTGAGCTCGGCCAGCTCGCTGGACCGGCACATGCTGGTGCACTCGGGCGAGCGGCCCTACCGATGCCCCGTGTGCCGCCAGGCATTCACCACCAATGGCAACATGCACAGGTGCGGCGGCTCGCTCGGGTGAACACCCAGCCACTCGGAAAGTTGCTGTCTTTACGAGTAAACGAATCGCGAGGTTGGCGAATCATTCGCTGCCATCTGCATTGCCCGCCCCCCACCGCCCCCCATGGTCCCCAGGCACATGAAGATCCACGAGAAGGAGCCGGGACTCTCAGACCCCTGGCCTCAGATGGCGCCTCCCCAAAAGCACCCACTCGGCTGCCCCCCTGTGCAGGAGCTCTCGGCCCCCCCAATCGCGCTCCTGGGGCCCCCCGTGACTGCCAAGCGTCCGCTGAGCCCCACTGAGGCTGAGGATGAGCCCTGGTCCTCCAAAAGGGTAATGAGTGTTTCGTGTTACTTTTAACGTTTAACTGTGTGTTGTGCATATTGTGTTCTGTGTAGAGTGTGTAACATGTGTGTCGTGTGTGTTGAGCTGTGGATTCTCGCTCATGGTCAACACCAGTGGTGATTATCTGTCTGAACCGGTCCTGGACCTCCCCTCGATACTAGTTAACAGCACTTGCCCCAACAGTCTGTTCAGGCTATACGGGGGATTTTTTGCTGTGTTCATTTTGTGTATGCTGCTGCATGTGGCATTCCAGGTGGCCCACGAGCAAGTGGAGGGGGAGGAGAGGCCGGGCAGCGTGGGGAGCGCTTGTGGGCCTGGCGGCACAGAGGGGCCACGCGAGTCCCATGAGGCGCCACGCGGGCCCCAGGAGGCACTGTGGCGCTGCCCCCTGTGCCTCAAGGACTCAACCGTGGAGGAGCAACTGGGCACGATCCCACGGTGAAGCATGTCACACACACTCAGAGCTGTTAGCGAGCACATGTTAAGGCTTGAAAGGTAGGCTAATAAAACTTGGGTTGTCAAGTTCTTAGTGCAGCTTCCTAACCGCTACACTACCATTCCCTACAAATCACACACTCATAAACACACTCGCACGCACGCCACCACCCCCGAGCTGAGTCTCGCGTGTTCTCACGTGTTCTGTGCGTTTCTGTGCAGGTGCGAGCACTGCGTCCCCTCCTCCACTTCCACCTCTTCTACCTCTTTTTCCACCACCTCCACCAATATCTCCGCTACCTCCACGAACGACCCAACGGGGCCCGACCGCGTTTCTCACGGCGCCGGAAGCCCCGGCCTCAGTGGCGCCATGGTCCCGAGTAACGATGACGACGACAATGACTCGGGGCCCTCCAAATTGCGTGCGGCCCCCATGTCCCCGTCCCCTCCGCCACCGACACCGCCACCAACGGCGGCGACGACGGCCAGCCCCCCACTCGACCCCGCGCACATCCAGAGCATTCCCAGCATTCCGAGCGGCTTCCAGCAGCTGGGCTTCGTCGACTTCTGCTGCCAGAAGTTCCCGCTGATCGCCAAGGTGAGCGGAGCGCGAGTCGACCGGCCGGCTCTGCCAGCGGTGCTGCTCGGTTCACCCCGACCCATGTCGGTTTCTAAGCTCTCGGTACACGTGTTGAATTGTACGCGTGGACGAACCATTCACGGCCATGTCAGTGTGATAATTATCGGATCACCTGGGACCGTGACTGGTTCCACCCGTATTGATACAAATAAGTTAATCGTCATCATCGTCTGTGGCCATGATCAGATCACAGCTGGATGAAGGCCTCCCTAAGCCATTGCCATCCCTCGTGGTCCTGCAAGACCGCCCTTCCGCTAAACCAGGCGTGTCCTGGCTCAGTAGCAGTCTCCTCCTCCTAACTCCACTAATTGTGGACTGCGGTCGCTGCTGCTACCACCACTGGGGTCTAAATGTTTTAATTGGTGCACGTCACCCTCCCCACCCCACCCCCCTCCAGGCGTGGTGTGAGGAAAATGCGCGGCGCAGCGCCAGTGCGTCTCACCGCTTCGTGTGCACGGCGTGCGACCGCGCCTTCCCCATGGCTGCCGCGCTCCAGCTGCACCACCGCACTCACCACAACCTGCACCGCTCCCCGTCCGTCCGGCTCCACCGCGAGCGCCGCCTCCACCGCCAACATGACCCCGCGCCGCAGCCGCCGGATCCCCTCCTGGTCCGGCCCGATGGCGCCGTCCTCGGCACGGTCCCATGTGAACCGCCGGACGCCAAGGTCACGTTCATGGGCTACCTGGGCCTGCGCCGCGCGACAGAGGTCGCGACCCCCCACCCCGCCAGCACGTCGGCCTCTGGCGCCAATCGGCCATGGGACGAGGCCTCGAGGGAGCGGCGATCGCTGCCGGCGCCCTCAGTAACGGCTGTGGCGGCTGCTCGGTCCCTGCCCCCGAGGGCTTTCGTGGCACGGCGCCCGGCCCCTGGGGCGGGGCCCGCGAGGTCGCCACTGCCGGTACCGGCGGGTGCGCCATCGGGGCCGAGCTGCGAGCTGGCCGACATCCAGCAGATCCTGCGCATGGCGGCCACGGCGTCGCCGGGCATGACGGGGGTCCTGCTGCCACTGCCGCCGCTGAGCAAAGCGCCGCCACTTGCTCCGCCCTCTTCCTCCGCCGCCACCGCCGCTACCAAGCTCATGCCAGCGCTCAAGCCCAAGCCGCGCGCACTGCCGTCGGTGACCGCGGCAGCCCCGCCCGTCGTCGCCGGCACGCTGCTGCTGCTGCCTCTGCCGCCGTCGCCCACGCAGGCAGCGTCCGCGCTCGCGTGCCGCGCCCCGCCACTGGCGCCGTGCCGAGCCCCGCCGGTTGCCACGGCGACGGGGGAGGCGGAGGGGTCGCTGGGGGTGGAGGGGGCGGTGGCACGTGGTGGCGGCACCGTCGTGCCAGGTTTTGCCGTTCGGCTGGTGCAGTCCGTCGTGGCGGCGCCGCCGACCCCCCCCTGTCACCCGTTCGGTTGCCCGGGCGAGGGGGGGGCAGTGGATACCGTCCCCGGTGCCGGCGACGCCGTCGAGCCCATTGACCTGTCGGTGCCGAAATCGAACGGTGCTCCCGCCAAACACGGCGCAGGGACCGCGACGCCCGCGCTCCCGCCTGCGCCACCGGCCGCCCCCGCCGCTCCTCGCCCCCACGCCAACGAGCGTCCTTTCCGCTGCTACCACTGCTCGGCCGCGTTCCGCGTGAAGGCGAACCTGGACAAGCACGTGGGCGCCAAGCACTCGGGCCCCACCAGCCCCACCACGCCGCCGTTGCCCACCGGGGCCGCCTGCGCCACGGGAGCCCAGCTCCTCCCGCTGCGCCCAATGCTGCCCAGGCTGTCCCCAAGCGGCAGCACGGGCCCCGATGGCACGGTGGACCTCTCCCCTCCGCTGCTGTCCTCGCCGCGAGATGCGGCCGTCCCGCCGTTGCCACATCACGCGGTAGAGTGCGGAGGCCACGAGGGCGTGAGCGCCGTCGAGTCGCCGCTGCTGCTGGGGACCCTGAAGCAAGAGGACCTGGCGGAGGAGGTGGCAGAGACCGACCCCGCTCCTCCTCATTCTCCCGCTTCTCTGTCGGCCAGCGCGGGGGGATGGCCCACAGGGCCCGGCGAGGGTCCGCACGTACGGCGACGGCCTGGCAGCCTCCTGCTGAGGAGCATCCTGGCGGCGAGTAGCACCAGCGAGTCGCTGGAGAAGCTGTTCCTCACGGGCGTGGGGCTCACCAGGGCCGTCACCTCCAAGGAGCCGCCCCCCCTCGCCTCCATCGCTCAGATAATTTCGTCCGTGTCGGCGGCGCCTGTGCTGCTGCGTCCTGGGGCGGCGGACAGAGCTGGGGAGGAGAAGGAGGGGGGCGACCTGGGTCGCGCCAACGGCGCCACGCGCCGAGAATCTGGGCCGCTGAGCTTCGAGAGTGAACGGCGCCGCCGCACCACCGCCGGCTCGGCACCCGCTGTGCGCAAGCGCGGCCGCCCCTCCAACGCCGCACGTGCCGCCCTGGCCAACGGCACCGGCCCTCGGCCGGCAGCCAAGCGTCGGAGACGGTCGGACGAGCCTGGCGCCCGGAGCGGACGTCAGAGCGGTGGCGGTGCAATTGGCGGCGGCAGCTGCGGCAAGGGTGAGGACTCTGAGGCGGTGGACCTGGACTCGAGCGGGGAGTTTGCGAGCATCGAGCGCATGCTCGACTCAATGGATTCCAGTCGCTTCATGGTGCTCCTGGAGGCCGCCGGCGCCGGCATAATTCCGCCGGCGCCGCCCCGTCCCCGCGTCCCCTCGGCCGGTACCGGGGGATCCGGGGGTTCCGGCGGGGAAGGGGAGAGCGACGGGGGCCACTGCACCCCCGAGCGGCGTCCGGCCATCGGAGACGGCGCCGACGGTGGAGACGGAGGTTTGGAAGAGGAGGATGAGGATGGGGTGGAGGTGGGGGAGTTTGAGCACCAGGGCGGGCTGAAGAGGAACACGTACTCCAACTCGGTGCACAGACTCAAGTGCCCGCACTGCCCGCGCCTCTTCCCCTGGATCAGCTCACTGCAGCGCCACATGCTGACGCACACCGGTGAGGGACGGGCGGCGCCGCACGCAACGCACGCTGCGCTCGCCGCCAGCCACGCGAGCCGCACCCCCCATGTCGCGCAGGGAGAGCGCGCCGGCGCCGCGCCGGCGCCGCGCGTGTCACTGATCGCGTCACGCGTGTCGCGCCCGTGCCTCCCAGGCCAGAAGCCGTACCCGTGCCCGCACTGCAGCACCTTCTTCTCCACCAAGTCCAACTGCGAGCGCCACTTGACACGCAAACACATGGGCAAGGGCGACACGCCCGCCACGCCGTGGGAGTTGGGGTGCGACGGTGCCATCGGGGGCCAGGCCAGCCCACCGGGTGCGTGTGTTTGCGCATGTGTGTGCGTGTTGGCGGGTGCACGGGCGCTCCCTAACAGAATATGCCCCCACAGTGTATATGGGAGGTCTTTGTGCATGGGCAGTGTGTAGTGTTGTGGCTTGGACCCGAGTTTTGATTCCTGCTCACTACCACCAGTACATGCTGCTGTGTAATTACCAGCACTGGGGAACAAAGGCGGCTGGGCGTGGTGCTGATCATCCACCACCCGTTTATGCACCGTGCCAGCCTGAATAGGCGCTCGTTATAAACACTTGGCCCAACAGAAAAATGGCTATATAGCGGACCTTGGTGTTTGTCTGCTCTCGACTCACGATCATAAAGACCCCATTTAAGCTTTAAGGCAGAGCAAGTCGTCACCCTGGGGTGTGACACAGCTGTCCTCTGTTCCAGGCAGAATCTTGTTTTGAGCTTTCCTGGGGGGCTGAGGTATGGCAGAGTGGTTCTGCTGTCTCCCTACTGATCGTTCCTGTTATGTATGCTGATGTTCTGGTGAGTTGGAAAATCTGCTGAACTTTTTACAAGGCAAAGCACCTGCCTGTGTTATCGAGTGCTCCACCCCCTCAACTCGCCATGAGCAATGCCGGTTGCGGAGAGGGTGGTAGAGTTCCTATACCGTAACCGTGGCAGCGTGCATATGACGAGCTCCAGTTTGGCAGCCGAGGAGGTCTCACTCTAAATCAGTCGGGTGGCGTGTCGGGGATTCTGCCCACGTGTGTGCCATATTGTTAGAAGTTTGTTTTTGCGTCTGTGAGTCCACTGAATGCGTTCCAAGTGCTAACGGGTATCGCCGTCCTTTGCAGATTCCCCACGGTGTATCTGCATGGAGTCCGTGAAGGAGAAGGCGGTGGAGTCGGGACTCGCCGTGAAACTGGAGATCGTTGAGGATGATGAGGGTGACGATGGATGCGGCTCCGCGGGACCGGCGACTAAGACCTCTCCGCCGCCATCACCGCAAACATCGTCGCCAGCTCCATCGCCGATGCCGGGGCTAGCACCGCCACCAACGCCGCCGTCTTCGCCGTCACCACCTTCACTTCCACCACCACCACTACCACCGACGGTGTCATCACAACCATCGCCATCACAACCAACGCCATCACAACCATCGCCATCACAACCATCGCCCCTGCCAACGCCGTCATCGTCCATCTCTTCCGTGGCTCACGCCGATGCAGGGACCTCCATCTCGCCGCAAAAAATCAAAACGGAGTTCCCGGTGCTCACCAACGGATTCGCAACCGCGACAAATGGAAACTGCGACGACGCCAATAACATCGATGACGATGACGACGATGAAGAGGAGCAGGGGGAGGGGTCGGAAGGGTGGGACGACCCCGATGACGACACGTCCAGCAACAAGAGCCTGGACCTTGATTTCGCCGCCAAACTCATCGACTTCAAGCTGGGCCCTGGCGGCACCGGCGTGGGAGGCCTGGTGAGCCCGACGGAGGTCGCGTCGGCGGCGCTGGGGGGCCCGGTCAGGCCCCTGGCGGCGGGGGGCGTCCCCGCAGCGCTGCTGGTGTGCGAGTCTTGCGGGAAAACGTTCCGGCACCGCGCGGTGCTGGCGCGGCACCGGCGCGTGCACACGGCCGAGCGGCCGTTCCGCTGCCCGCAGTGCGAGCGCACCTTCACCACCAAGTTCAACCTGCAGCGACACGCGCAGCGCCACGCGGCGGCGGCGCCGGCGGCGGCCGCCGCCCGGCAAACACTTGCCAAGCTGCTCCCATCGGGGCCGCTGCCCGACACCGTCGTCCCCGCCACCGTTAACGGTGGCGGCGGCATTACCGTGACGGTCCGAGACAAGCGGGGGAAGAGGGGCGGTGGCGGTGCCCGTCGCGGTGGTGGTGGCGGCTCTTCCCGGGACGCGCGGTGCGAGTCTCGGGAGCACGGCTCGCAGGGGTCGGAGCACGGCGACGGTGCCTCTCGGGCCGGTGAGGATGTCGGTGAGGACGGGACGGCGGCCGGGGACGTCGAGCGTGGAGACGGAGCCCCAGAGGGGGGCGAGGCCGTGGGGGGGAAGGAGCGAGAGAAGAGGAAAAAAGTGTGCGAGGTTTGCAACAAGCGGTTCTGGTCGCTGCAGGATCTCACGCGGCACATGAGGTCGCACACAGGTGAGGAGGCCTTAGCGACACGTCGCTCTTCCCGCACGCCATGCCACTGGGTGACCCGTTTATGGGCAGCAGCATGGTGGCACAGTGGCAACACTCCCGCCTCGCAGCAAGAGGCACCTGGGTTTGATTCCCGACTCAGGCGTTTTCCTGTGTGGAGTTCCTATGTTCTTCCCCTGTTCTGCGTGGGTTTCCCCTGGGTTCTGCTGTTTCCTCCGAAAGCTACAAAAATACACACAGTGTAACTGGTATTGGAAAACATGCCAAACAGCAACGTCTCCTCCTACTGCTAAAAATTTGGCAGGACCCTCCTATTAAAGCCCACGGGTTAAGTTTAACTCCACGCGTAAGTGCTGTAGGATTGTGAACGCGGCCGTGTTGTGTGTGTGGCATCCGCACCTCCAGGCGAGCGACCGTACAAGTGCGACACGTGCGAGCGTACGTTCACCCTCAAGCACAGCCTCGTGCGCCACCGCCGCATCCACGACAAGGGCGGCCGCGCTGAGGCCTGGCGGCCTCCAGGGCCCCGGTGTCTTCTGCCGGCGCCGACGACACCGCCACCGGCGGCGCAGCCTCCCGGAACGGCGTCGCCGCCGCCGAACGACGGGGCCCCCAGCCCACCGCGGGAAACCCGTGACCCCGGGGAGGTCATCCAGGGCTCGTTCTTCCAGTCGGTGAGCGTGCGTGGCTCTGTGGGGGCCGTTATGCGCTTTTTTGTATGGCAGTGCAGTGACTGCATCTGCATCACCGGCGTCGGTACGCACAGCAGCAACGTGGCTAGGGGGCGGGCGAATTGAGACTCATCAGTGCTGCCCCTGGGGCTTGTCGCCGTCTTTGTTGTTGCCCGGCTTCGGCTGCTCAGCTCCGGCTGCTCGGCTCCATGGTGTCGCTTCCCCACCCCCCCCAGGTCCCACCACTACGTTTTTATAAAGCGCCTTGGGTCTCCGTTAGGTGAGGAATCAAACGATGGCTGACCGCATACACACTTGACGCGTTCATGCCGTTCTCTGCAGGTTGGCGCCACCGTGCCGTTTCCGACGCTCGCGCTGGGCTGCTGGGGCGTCGCCGCGGGAGCCCTGGGCGCCGGGAGAACGGCGGACGCTGGCGCCGCCAGTGCCTCCGGTGGCCTGGCGGCGGCCCGCGATCGCGCCCGCCGCTCCGACATCATCAAGAGCCTCTTGGGTCTGCCCGACGGCACCGTCCTGGAACAGATGCTTGAGTCGGCTGACTCTGCCGCACAGCTGCTCGGCGTGTGAGCGCTGCCGCCGGCGCATCGGCTCAATCGTCCGGTCCGTCCGGGGTGAAATTTGGGGTTTGCGCGCCGCGGGAGGTCGGGAGGTCAGCCACGCCTGTTCCATCTTCCTGCCGTCGCCGGGACGTCTTCCTTCCCTGCACGAGCGCGCACGCAGTATTCCCGCGTAGCTGGTCTCCGGGCGCCGCCGTGGCTTGTCTGGCGCCGGCTCGTGCCGGTACTTGGTGACACGGGGCCCGGCGTGACGGGGTTCGGGTTGGGGCGGCACTTTAAAAATGCCGGCGTGGACCGTGTGTGTGCGCCAGGAGCAGGCAGTATTAATGTGGCGACGACGTGAGTGGCTCGTGTCACCGGGTCAGGTTCTTTAGGCTACGGCCGCCGGCTGGGGGCAGCCAGGGGCGGCCAGAGTCCACCGTGTTGTGCCTTGTGTTAAGACAGCAACGGGGGGCAGCGCAAGCGATTGCGTCAATCCCACCCCGCCCAGCTTTCGCTTCCCTAAACTGACGGTGCCTTGCGGGGGAGTGACGGGCGAGATCGTAAAGCGCTGGGAGGACGTCCGCTACACAGTCGGGGGCTACTCAGGGGTCCATGAGGACCCAGGAGACCCCACGGTAAAGGGGAGCAGCCAAGGGGGGACCGTGCCTTCTGCCTTCATCCCCCGGTAACTGCACCAGCGACCCGAACACCAGCGAGAGAAGCAAACCGCTAACACGCCGGCTGTTTGGCGACGGACGGATTACGGCGCTTTTGGGAATATCTCACCAAAGCGATTGACCGCCTCGCCGCCGACTCACGAGTGCCTTCCTCAGTTTTGAGAATCGAGCAATACATGCGGCGGTTGTGCGTGCCTGGCGCAAGTGGCGATGCCACGGGCCGGCGCAGCCACAGCCGACGAAGCCTTGAGAAAGCCATGCTTATTTTCATAGTAATAACGGTGTCAATTGTACAGGCGTTAGGTTTGTGTTTTCTATACATATATTATATATTTATATACGAATGAACTGGAGGGTGCTCTAGCTTCGCCTGCATGAATGTTCACACTGGGCTTTGATGGAAATCAGATTACCGGCAATGTTGTTGCTCATGTTATTCTTATGATTACGATGCTGTTCTTGTTATTTTTCCCGTGTTCCCACTTGGGGCAGGAGGATCATCGATTCCCGAGTTGCGTTCAAGCCATGATGCGCTTGAGCAACGTTGGGGCAATTGTCGCCAGGAACACGTTTACTTTGAGCAACTATGGCAACTTGTTACGGTAATGGCGGAGAGCGACTTCAGGGTTTGAAAAACGGCACATTTTATGAACAGTGATTGGTCGACACAGCATCCAACCTCGGGTAGTCACGTAACCTGTGTCGTCTGATTGGAAAGCAGCGAGGAGATTTTTTTCATATTTGAGTGACTACATTTAATTTACAATAGTAAAATGATGCAGCCACCATTGCCGGCAACGATTGCCCTGAATTTGCCGTGGGGTTTACTGTGGCCTTCAGTAAGACGCTTTTTCATGAGGCCACGGCGCGGCGCCTTCCGCGGAGTCGCCTCAGTTCATCCGTTCCGCTGACTCAGCTCGCCGCATCTTCCTATCGACGCACCAGCCTGTCTAGCAAACCCTGCCCATCGGTCACATGAGCAGCCGGTCACCGCCACCCGGTGCCCTGTGGGGCTGAGCATCTCGACTAGGACCGGTTGGGTAATGGCGGCAACCGACGCGTCTTTGCCGGTGGTGTTGGGATGGGTGCCGAGGTCGCCGTGAAACGATGACCTATTTGGAAAACGGCGCTGCAGTAAATCGGTAGCCTCGACCCAAACCATACAGCAATTCCTAACCTCTGAGCCATATCTGTCGTTAACAATATCCATAACCCCAACCCTATCCACAAACCTATCTTAAGCCTATCCCAAACCAAACCCTGATTTTTAATAGTAGACCCAACCGCAACTCTGATTTGGCCTCTGCGTTATTTCCCAAGCAGTGTCAGCAGCGCCCTCGTCATCCCCTCCGCTCGGTTTAAATGCTGAAAACCAAAGAGATTTATGTTCCCGCGCCCCCTCCCCCCATCCCCGACCCGGAGCGGCCGTGTGTGCCGCTCCCGGCTAATGCGGGCGGCACCGGCGAGGCGAGGTGGCCCCAGCGGCCAGGGCTCGCGCCGGGCAGCGGTGCGCGGCGCCAGCGGATGGAGCCTCCTCGCGTCTTCCACGCGCTCGTTTTCTATGTTTTTTGTAACGGATGAATAAACGCAGAGTATGCTTGACACCGCCGTGCCGCCCTCTTGATACAAACACGGGGGCTTTTTTAGATTTAATAAAATGATAATGCATGGCTCCTTTTGTCAATCCATGACCTCCCCTCGCTTTGCACATCGTGGGGCTGTTGTACGACGAAACTTTACCACGCCGGTTAGTGTTGGTAGGCCACGGGATGGGAACTCGGGACCAAGTTGGATATTGCCCACTGTCGATATTGGCTATGGCCGGGAATGAAACTCGCTCGGGCTGACGGGTTCATCACGCACTTTGTAACCCCTGCACCGCAGACAGCATCTACATGCAAGTGCGTCTTGAGACGCCGACCCTGATGCACGTTTACGAAGTCCACTGCCTCCATCGTGATGACGCGATATCGGAACCGGCTAGATGGAGCAAGTGGGGGTGCAGCGGTTTGCACGCTGCGCTATAATCCTGCCATACTAAGTTCAGTTGCCAGCCACAGATAACATCGGTGACCAGGGATGTACGAACCAGTCCTGGGCACCACCGACTTCACCGATCTACACTCAGTAGCGTGAGGTTCGATCAAAACAACCTCGACTGACATAGCATGGGGGAGGCCTGAACCCAGCAGTTGATTGGCAGATGTCAGTGCATTTGTATTATTGCTGCGGCAGCCTGGAGGGGGGGGACAAACGAGGAAGAGCTGTCGGGCGGTGCTCTCGGAGGCAGCTGCAGCTCCGCAGCTCCTCTGGAAGGGGGTCCCCGATAGTGTGACCGCATGGGGCCCACCACAGCGGGTCACCGCGAAGGAGAAGAGCAAGCTTGGGGTGGGCAAAAGGGACATTTGGTGGTTCAGGTCCCACTCCAGCAGCCCCTTACTGCCAGTCCTGCACGGAGGACCCGGCAGGAGTAGGCAAGGAATGGAATGACAAGAGTGAAATGCTGGGCTGCCTTGTTGGTGAACACTGCAGGGCCCAAATACAGAAGTACGTAGAGAGCACTGAGTGGCTACATTTCCAGCCTCGTCTTCAATCTATTGCGGTCGAAGTGGTCGTTTAACCATCCTTCGCCATGCTTGTCAGTGTGGGTTGAAGGCATGCAGCACAGACTTGGAAGTAAAGTACAGAACTCCTCTCATCCGTTGTGATCCGGGGAACAAACATCGCAGATCCTATTATCTGTACAACTCCAATGATGCGCAAAAAACCTGTGTATAATCAGACAATGACAGCTGAGCATGATGCTAGACACGCCACCGTGTCCGCTGTGATGGCCTTAATACGTTCTCGATAACAGCACTTGCCCTACCAGCCTGTTTATGCTACACGAGGTCTTCGTGAGTGTACATGTACTTGAATGAGTGTGTGTACCTGTATACATCTGTGCATCGCCTGCACGCATCTCGGCTTGTTCACTGCCTGAGGCCTGCAGTAGAAAAACCCCGCCTTTTGCAGCCGACCTGTGAACTCTACTCAAGGTGACGCCCGGGAGACGGTGATTGCTTCAACCCTGAGCACCTTTAGACACCACCAGGGCTGACTTTCACACTGGATATTTTCCGGGTTGCTGGTAGATTAATGACTGTCACCATGACTCATAGCCACAGCCATCATGAGAGGTGTGCTGGATGTGGAAATATATTCTTTCTGGTGGCTGACTCGGAGAGACCTTGGAGGGAAGGCACAGTGCTGGTTCAGATGATCAGAACAGATATCCGTGGCGAGAATTAAGCCACTGGGTTAGGAGCGCAGTTTGATAACCACCGCACCGTCGCTCCAGCCTGGATGCCACAGATGCACACACGGGCGTCAACAACAACAACAGGATCGAACTCAAACTTTTAATGGAGCTTTTACAAACATATCTGCAACACAACCGGGGAAGAGAATGAACTGTAAGTGGGGGGGCAAGGGCGGAGGAGGGGCGCCGTTGATAGAGTGCCAGGACGTCGAGCCTTGTGGTTTGAGGGGCAAACGTAAACGTTGGGGGGAGCTACGCAGAGGCGGCTCGAAGGTCGCCCTTGCGTCGGGAGACAACGCAATCGCGCTGGCTGTAATGGACATCGCAACAAAGGTGGGTGGCATGCATCGGCATGGGTTAAGGTCAGTGGGCCAGGGTGGGGTTGGGAGCACCAGCAGCAGGCAGCGAGGGGTGCGATGGTGGTGCCATCAGACGCCTCCCCTTAGTGCCAGCACCAGGTGCAGCACGGAGCCGCCCTGGATTTTGTAGTCTGCGGCCGTCTTCTCATCGTTCCTACGAGGAAATGGACGAGGTCAGCATGTGGAAGCTCTCGGGCAGAACGTGAATGCAAGAAACTCATTTGAGTAATAATTACAGGACTGCACTGGGAGCAGCAATGCATTGGTTTGTCAATTAACACAACAGCATATGCACATCTTCTCAAGCGTTTACATCATACCACACAAATATTAATCAAGTATTAAAACATTTACCACACTTCCCCTTCTCATAAGCATATATACATTATACACAATTCTACCACACTAAAATATAAACTCTTTTAGCATTTAACTATTTACCATATTTCCCCTTCCCATAAATCTTACAACAGCTGTTCTCAGCTCGAGAAAAAACCTTTTGTGGGGCAGGGATGCGGCACAGGCTGTGGCACGGAACCCGCCGTGCAGGGTAATTTAAACATAAGGGTAGGCCTCTGTAAGCTATACCAAAAAAGATTCAGAACCCCCTGCCTTACATTAAGCCTTTTTATCCGATACCATTAATCGGCACTCAAATATCATGCAGCATTCAACCATTTAGCACAAACACACCTCTCACAAGCCTTACAACAAATACGCCTGTCACATTTGACATCACTCCACACTCAAATATTAACCGCATGCCACTCAGCTATGGACCACGCCTTCCCTTTTCGCAAGTCACGCTCACTATAAAAATGACCCAAGGGCCACATCTTCCTTTAACCAAATCACCACGAATAACTTATTAACATTACACTTGTTTACCCAGGGAAGCCTCAATGAGTCTCAAGACTTTTTTTAGGAGGATCTTAAGTGTTTGCAGGAGGGGCGATTTAGTTTAACACGGAGGCTTTCGCGACCAATATCCATAATAGAGTTTTTTTTTGGGTTAGATCGCGTCAATATATAAATGTTGTGTCGTTAAAACCCGCCACCACCCGACACAGCCAACTAGTAAGGGTTGTCACGTAAACAGAACGTGGACAATTCGTCACTAGTACAGCACTAGTGTGTAGTGTATAGTGTAGTGTACAGTGTAGTATATAGTGTAGTATACTAGTACAGCACACCGGTGTGTTGGAGAGCCAAGCCACAACATTGACAAACTGAGTACGTTTCCACAGTAATTACAACTAGCTTCATCAGGCGACAGCCAGATTTGTGGAGAAATCTTACTGTTTCGTTCCTTATATAGAGGCGTAGACGTGTTGACCACCCTTCTGCGCTCTAACACAATGTGGGGGGGGGATTACTGAGGCAACGTACATTATGCATGTGCATTATGCGAGCCCTTTAAACTTGTCCTTCCTGTCTATTGTGTTTATTAAGATAGCCCTACCAACGGTAATCCCTATTGAAGTATGCTATCCTTTGTAGGCATGCATTTAAGTGATGAAGCTAGTTGTAATTACTGGCGAAATGTCGTACTCAGTTTGTAAATGATAATAGGTTTTTCCCATTTTTTCTGGTAACAAAACAGGTGTTAATAAGTTAAAACACCAAACTGAAACCTTTCACAAGGAATCATGTCTGCATTAACCACAATGATTGTGGTCAAAATGCAAACAGAAAACACCCTGATAATACATTGTCCTTGAAACTGATTGGTCCACATCAGAGATAGCTTTCTTTTGAGCCTCGTCTCAAACGGTGTTAAACCAGAGGATGCCAAAAGGCGTACTACAGACTCGGGCGGCAGTCCCCGAGTCTGTAGTTAGCTGTCTCTGGTGTGGACCAATCAGTTTCAAGGACAATGCCCATATATTATCAGAGTATGTTTTTGTTTGCATTCTGACCACAAGAATTGTGGTTAATGCAGACATGATTCCTGGTAAAAAGGTTTCAGTTTGGTGTTTTAACATCTTAACACCTGTTTTGTTGCCAGAAATAAGTGGAAACCTATTATCATATTTTGGTACTGGCAAAGGAGGTCCCATGCCAGTTTGTAAATGTTGTGGCTTGGCTCTCCAACACACCGTTGTGCTGTACGAGTGATGAATTGGCATATTCCGTTTACGTGACAGCCCTTACTAGTTGGCTGTGTCGGATGGTGGCGGGTTTTAACGACACAACATTTATATATTTACGCGATCTAACCCAAAAAAAACCTCTATTATGGACCAATGACATTGTCTGTTTTTTTTTAATTATGGGGGAGGAAACTGGAGAACACTGAAGACACCCAAACTAAACAGGGGGAGAACATACATGCTCCACACATACATGCTCCACACATACATGCTCCACACATACATGCTCCACACATACATGCTCCACACATACATGCTCCACACATACATGCTCCACACATACATGCTCCACACATACATGCTCCACACATACATGCTCCACACATACATGCTCCACACATACATGCTCCACACATACATGCTCGACACATACATGCTCCACACATACATGCTCCACACAGAAAGGCACACGAGTCAGGAATCCAGGTCCCTTCTTGCTGTGAGGCATGAATATACTCATGTGTCGATTCATCTAGATTCTTATAGTACTGCTGTTGACGCTGGTTGTCCTGCCACCAAACTCGAAGTCTGACTGGGTTCCCGCCGTCTGGTGAAACAGAGACAACGAGAGAGCTCCATGCGGCTGGAGAGAGAAGGGAGCTCCTACATCTGTTTTCCGCTGAAGATGAGCCGCTGCTGAGGAGGGGGGATTCCCTCCTTCTCCTCGACGCGCTCCTTGATCCGCTCCACCTGGGGAGTTAAGGGGGAGGTGAGGGGGGGTAGAGGGCCGATGCAGTGCTCAGAAGACAAATCTTGAATGACATAAGAACCAGCCCCGTTTGAAGACCTTCCTCGCGTCGTGTTGGTCTTGGGGGTTGTCTGACCAAGCTTCACGTAGCTGGTCACCCAGACATAACGTGTACAAGTCAAAAAACATGATGCGAACACGCGATTCAAAGCATAAAATGGGAGAAAGCGGGGAGCAGTACACACCTTGTCCGTTGGTTCTATGTCAATTTCAATCTCTTTCCCTGTGAGCGTCTGCAAGACACGGGGAGACAGACACACGGGGAGACATGTTACATTGTGAGACGGGGAGACATGATGAGACACTGGGGGCAGTCCCCGAGTCTGTAGTTATGAGCCCATGAGTCAGAAACTCAGAGACTTGCAGGCTCCAATATAAGTTTCTATATTCTAAATTTTCTAAATAAAAACACAATTTCTTTATAACTGCTTTTTGTGTTTAGTTTCTTGTCCTTCCCCGTACCTCCAATTAACATGGCTGGCTATGTACGGTGCGAAATAGATTCAACATACATACAAAACCCAGTTATTTAGCTTCGCAGACTCAAAGGTCTAGGGGTAATGTAGTCTCAGGGTTCTCTGGGTTAGTCTTTAGATCTCTAGGGGTCCGAGTCTCAGAGATCTAGGGATCCCAGTGATTCAGTCATATGGTCTGAAGGATATGAGTGTTCGTGTATATTAGGTGTTTATGGTCTAAACAATAAAGGGGTTTCAAACTTAAAGTCACATTCTTATGGACTTTAGTGTCTCGAGTTTTAGAGTTAAGGTGTCAGATTCCCCAGATTCAGAGTCTCTCAGCCCCCGTGTTTCTCAGTCCCTGGATATCGCTCCGTCCCTGGATATCGCTCCGTCCCTGGGTCCCTCTCTGTCCCTGGGTCCCTCTCTGCCCCTGGTTTTCTAAAGTAACGAGTTAAACAGTCCCTGGATATCTCTGTCCCTGGGTCTCTCTGTCCCTGGATATCTCTGTCCCTGGGTCTCTATGTTCCTGGGTAACATCTCTGTCTCCAGGTCTCTCTGCCCATGGGAACCTCTCTGTCCCTGGGTTTGTCTCTGTGTCCCTGGGTTTGTCTCTGTGTCCCTGGGTTTGTCTCTGTGTCCCTGGATATCTCTGTCCCTGGGTCTCTCTGTTCCTGGGTAACCTCTCTGTCCCCGGGTCTCTCTGCTCATGGGAACCTCTCTGTTCCTGGGTTTGTCTCTGTGTCCCTGGGTTTGTCTCTGTGTCCCTGGGTTTGTCTCTGTCCCTGGGTCTCTCTGCTCCTGGGTGCATCTCTGTCCCTGGATATCTCTGTCCCTGGGTAACCTCTCTGTCCCCGGGTCTCTCTGCTCATGGGAACCTCTCTGTCCCTGGGTTTGTCTCTGTGTCCCTGGGTTTGTCTCTGTGTCCCTGGGTTTGTCTCTGTGTCCCTGGATATCTCTGTCCCTGGGTCTCTCTGTTCCTGGGTAACCTCTCTGTCCCCGGGTCTCTCTGCTCATGGGAACCTCTCTGTCCCTGGGTTTGTCTCTCTGTCCCTGGGTTTGTCTCTCTGTCCCTGGGTTTGTCTGTGTCCCTGGGTTTGTCTCTGTCCCTGGGTCTCTCTGCTCCTGGGTGCATCTCTGTCCCTGGATATCTCTGTCCCTGGGTAACCTCTCTGTCCCTGGGTTTGTCTCTGTGTCCCTGGGTTTGTCTCTGTCCCTGGGTCTCTCTGCTCCTGGGTGCATCTCTGTCCCTGGGTCTCTCTCTGTCCCCGGGTTTCTCTGCCCATGGGAACCTCTCTGTCCCTGGGTCTCTCTGCTCCTGGGTGCATCTCTGTCCATGGGTCTCTCAAGGCCGAGTCAAACAATCCCCGGCTCTCTCCGTCGCCGAGACTAGGCGAGTGTCAGGTCTGATAGGGGCCTGGGTCGCGCTCCCTTCGCGGGATGCCGCTCCCTGTCCACCCTCCCACGTCGCCAACCCCCGTTTCTCACCTTGACCTTGATGAGCATCGCGGCTTCGTGTGGTGTGGGTCCGGCCTCTCTCTCTCGGTCAACGCCGCTGCCGCTGTCGCCGCCGCCGTGGATCGCGCGAAGCGATGGGAGAAGCGCGGCTGCGATCAGAGCCCACGCCGTCACGTCACCGGCGCCGCAGTGTCCGCGCCTCTGATTGGCCGCGCCCGTTCACCACCCCGCGTCCAATGGGAAGCGCGGCGGGCGCGCGTCACGTGGGGCCACCGCTTCCTTACGCAAGACACGCGGACAGTGCAGACAGTGCGGTCAGTCAGGGAGAGAGAGAGCGCGAGAGGAGGCCGCAGGCCCGACACGGACCCCCGAGACCCCGACACGGACCCCCGAGACCCCGACACGGACCCACAGAGACCCCGACAGGTACCCACAGAGACCCCGACAGGTACCCACACGGATCCCGAGACCCTGACAGCGCACAGAGACCTTGACACGGACCCCCAGGGACACCGACAAGTACCCACAGAGAACCCACCAGAGACACAGACACCTCCAGAGACCCCGAGACCCTGAGAACCTACAGCGACCCCGAGACCCTGACGCTGATACCACGACAGACCCCCGAGACGGAGACCTCCAGACCCCTGAGGTTGTAACACTCGGACCCCGCGATCCCTAAATCCCTAACTGGCATCCCTGTAGGCCCTGATAATGAGACTCGGAGGGACCCTATAGCATTGAGACCCCGAGACGCCGAGAAACCATAACACTGAAACCCCAGGACCCCGAATGTACTGGCACCCCGAATAGTACCGATACACCTGGAGCCCCCTAACACTCGCACCGAAACCTCTATAACCCCGCAGACGCTAACGCCGAGGCCCCAGGACGGACGCCTTTAGAGACCCCTTGAAGACCCCGCTTGGCCTGGCGGCTCGCCCCCGGCTGCCATGGTTCGGCCCTGCGGCTCCGTGGCCGGGATTTGCCGCCTCCTGCGCGGAGGAGCGGGGCGAGGGATCGGGACCCCAGGGCCCCTGAGAGAGGTTCGTGTTTGACCCCCGCCACTCTCAGACCCCCGTTACCCCCCCCCCCGCCGGCACAGGACAGCGTTTGCTGCGTGAGAGAGAGCCAGAAAGCAAGATGGGTTGTTCACTCTTACCAAACTCTTTCTTGCCATTTTGTCCCCCATTTGCATCTTAATCGATGGTTACATCGCAGGATCGTGGGAGATGGTCTTCATCCAGCAGTAGATTGACCATGTTGATGATGTATCCCGATTGTGCTATCGGAGACGTTATTATGAAATGAAGTAGAATAATCGAGTACATCCATTCGGGAAATCTCAGTGGATGTTGCAGTACTGTCCTCTGGTGCCAGCCTCATGGCCCAGTGGCAACAGCCTGAGCTCACCTGAGGGCTTGCCTGGGTTAACACGCGTGGAAATAATATTAATAATACACCTCCATAATAGAGGGGGGATTTTTTTGGTTTAGATCGTGTAAATATATAAATGTGTCGTTAAACCCGCCACCACCCGACACAGCCAACTAGTAAGGGTTGTCACGTAAACAGAACGTGACAATTCACCACTAGTACAGCACTAACCGGTGTGTTGGAGAGCCAAGCCACAACATTTGCAATCTGAGCACGACGTTTCGGGTGGTGGCGGGTTTAACGACACATTTATACATTTACACGATCTAACCCCCAAATCAACTATTATGGATGATATTGGTCGCGAAAGGCTGCCTGTGCGTGTTGGTCATTCATCCAAGCGCCTAGTCAGGCTCAGCAAACCTCGCGTCTCTGATGAAACCGGGCGCACATCATGGTGATGATGCAACGAGGTTGTCATTGGAGAATGAACCCCGAGCGAGATTTGGTTAAACATCGGTAATTTTAGCCAAGACCACACAACTCTCTCTACTCGGAGAACCCCGGATTTATCACAAATAGTTTGACGACGGTGCATTGGCATTGGTGTACAAGCACACACCAACACGACACACGAGTTAGTCAGAAGTTTGTGACCATACAAGAACAAAAGTATAACAGGCGACGTTTTGGACAATGTTGAGTTTTAGTTCGTATCTTGCGGAGCTTCAACTCGAATTCAAAGTTGGGATATGGGCGGTTGCTGGCTTCAGCACAGCGACGTCACTGACATTTTACGAGAGGCGTCCTGGATGTGGAGTGCCGGGTGTGGAAATATTTTCCTGATCGTTAACCCGGACAGATCGGATGGGGGAGGAGACCCAGAACCAGTTTCGGATCATCACAATATTGATGTGTTAGCCGTGACCGGGAGTCGAACTGGCAGTGCAGTTCGCTCGCAACCCGGTTCACCGTGTCTGCAACTGCGATGCCACCGCATTGTTCCGATGATGAGGCGCGTCAGTAAAGACGCATCCCAAATGTGTTCCCGATGTCAATAAAGTTATACAAATCTGGCCACAACATACACCTACCGGTTTATAAGACGCATATACTGTGTGTTTTTGTACAATACAGTATATCCTTTAACAAATTTTATTTAGTACTGTATGTCCTCAGTTATCGCACCATACAACTTATTTAGTGTATCAGTTAAATCAAGAGGTATGAATCGTGTTCAATTGTTAAACGTCAACACGCGCCGCATTTGATGGGACGGCGCGAACCACGCCGGCCTTCAGTCGTGTCCCAGATCTCCCTCTTCCCTTCTGGCTGGCACTCAGCACGTGGTACCCATGGCCGTGCTCTGGCTGCCACTCACCACGTGGTACCCATGGCCGTGTTCTGGCTGGCACTCACCACGTGGTACCCATGGCCGTGTTCTGGCTGCCACTCACCACGTGGTACCCATGGCCGTGCTCTGGCTGACACTCAGCACGTGGTACCCATGGCCGTGTTCTGGCTGCCACTCACCACGTGGTACCCATGGCCGTGTTCTGGCTGCCACTCACCACGTGGTACCCATGGCCGTGTTCTGGCTGCCACTCACCACGTGGTACCCATGGCCGTGCTCTGGCTGGCACTCAGCACGTGGTACCCATGGCTGTGCTCTGGCTGGCACTCAGCACATGGTACCCATGGCCGTGCTCTGGCTGGCACTCAGCACGTGGTACCCATGGCCGTGCTCTGGCTGACACTCACCACGTGGTACCCATGGCCGTGCTCTGGCTGGAACTCAGCACGTGGTACCCATGGCCGTGTTCTGGCTGCCACTCACCACGTGGTACCCATGGCTGTGCTCTGGATGACACTCACCACGTGGTACCCATGGCCGTGTTCTGGCTGGCACTCACCACGTGGTACCCATGGCCGTGCTCTGGCTGACACTCACCACGTGGTACCCATGGCCGTGCTCTGGCTGACACTCACCACGTGGTACCCATGGCAGTGCTCTGGCTGGCACTCAGCACGTGGTACCCATGGCCGTGCTCTGGCTGCCACTCAGCACGTGGTACCCATGGCCGTGCTCTGGCTGACACTCACCACGTGGTACCCATGGCCGTGCTCTGGCTGACACTCAGCACGTGGTACCCATGGCCGTGCTCTGGCTGACACTCAGCACGTGCGGCTAAACATCGCACGCGTCGTATCCCTGGCTGCGTTTGATTCGTCATACGTGTGTGAGATTTATACATCGATGGAGTGCCTCGAGAGTTGATGAGAGGCGCTTTATACGCGTTAATTATGTATTATTATAAAACACACTTATTCAATGCATCATTTATCGACATGAAACGCGTTATTTTATATGTTGGCGATATACGAAATAACTTTAGGAAGTGTAATCTCCAAAAACAAACATACAATAAAACAAGCTTTAAAAACGCTAAGCCATAGCCCGTGCCGGCACTCTTGCTGAGTCATTTTGATGAAGGGGAAATGACGGTCGGCTGTGGACAAAGAACGCGCGGCCGTGGTCACGGCTTGGGAGCGTCTGAACCTCGTGACGGGAGGGGCCACGGCTGGGCACGGGGGGGGGGGAGTGAGGGGCGTCCATCCAGCAGTGGATTGACCAAGGAATGTACACTTATTTATTTTGTCCGAAATGGATTCACGTCGCCCCTGCAGCCATCTCAGGTCGCCACTTCGACTCTTCGACTCTTCAGGTTTAAAATGAAGAGTTGATAATGTTACATTATGTTGACAATTGTCTGTCCATTTCATCATAATCACCATCAGCCACGATCAATCCACTGCTGGATGAAGGCCCACCGAAGGCGTCGCCATCTCTCACGATCCTGCGATGTCATAATCCAGCCTGCACACGTGCTAATTTGAACGTTCCATCTCCGCGACGACGCATTCCGAGTGCGTACCCATCCAGACTAGAACTATAATCCATGTGTGGAGATGGAGCCAAGAGATCAGCTGCCTTGAGCTGGATTGCAACATGGCAGGACCATAAGAGATGGCGCAGGCTTGGGGAGGCCTTCATCCAGCAGTGGAGAAACTTTACAAAACGCAGGATTTGGGCTGAACATGTTGTCATCACTACAAATGTGTACAGTCCTTTTGTCAATCCACTGCTGGATGGATGCCACCCCATTCCATGGCTGGGTGATATTCAGTGGGGAGCGGTGGCGCAGTCGTTAGAACCCTGTACTCCGAACCCAGCGAGCCGAGTTCGATTCCTGATCGCGACCAATATCAGTGCCGAATATGTGAACGGGTCCCGGGCCTGGTGCGGTGTGTAAACATCACCACGAGGGAGACAAAGGCAGCCGGGCGTGGTACTGGCCACCCACTTCCTCATCTGCCCTCCCGGCCTTCATCGGTGCTCGCCAACAGCACTTGCCCAACAACTAGATAGTTTGTAAATATATATATCTCATTGTTTAGAATGTTTCTAATTTTATGTTGGGTTTTATGTGATGGTGCTTTGAGTGGCAGATTCGTGCCATAAAGACGCCACAGTATGTAAACAATAACATTGACTCGTGGGTCAGTGGGCAGTCGTGTTGACAAAACAGACAAGATGCATCTCATTCTCCCTCCCTAACCCTGTACCCCCCCTCCCACTTTGTACCCCCCTCCCACTCTGTACCCCCCTCCACTCTGTACCCCCCCCCCCCCACTCTGTACCCCCCTCACTTTGTACCCCCCCACTGTACCCCTCCCCCCACTCTGTACCCACCCCACTCTGTACCCCCCCTCACTCTGTACCTCCCCCCACTCTGTACCCCCCCCCACTCTGTACCCCCCCCCCACTCTGTACCCCCCCCCCACTCTGTACCCCCCCCCACTCTGTACCTCCCCCCACTCTGTACCCCCCCCCCACTCTGTACCCCCCCCCACTCTGTACCCCCCCCCACTCTGTACCCCCCCTCACTCTGTATCTCCCCCCACTCTGTACCCTCCCCCACTCTGTACCCCCCCCCCCCCCTCTGTACCCCCCCCCCCACTCTGTACCCCCCCTCACTCTGTACCTCCCCCCACTCTGTACCCCCCCCCCCCACTCTGTACCCCCCCCCCCACTCTGTACCCCCCCCACTCTGTACCCCCCCCCCCCCTCTGTACCTCCCCCCACTCTGTACCCCCCCCCCCCCACTCTGTACCCCCCCCCACTCTGTACCCCCCCCCACTCTGTACCCCCCCTCACTCTGTATCTCCCCCACTCTGTACCCTCCCCCACTCTGTACCTCCCCCTACTCTGTACCCCCCCCCACTCTGTACCCCCCCCCACTCTGTACCCCCCCCCCACTCTGTACCTCCCCCCACTCTGTACCCCCCCCCCCCACTCTGTACCCCCCCCACTCAGTACCCCCCCACTCTGTTCCCCCCCCCACTCTGTACCCCCCCCCACTGTGCCCCCCCCCCCACTCTGTACCCCCCCCCCCACTCAGTACCCCCACTCTGTACCCCCCACTCTGTAACCCCCCCCCCACTTTGTACCCCCCCCACTCTGTACCCCCCCCACTCTGTACCCCCCCACTGTACCCCTCCCCCCACTCTGTACCCACCCAACTCTGTACCCCCCCACTCTGTACCCCCCCACTCTGTACCCCCCCACTCTGTACCCCCCCACTCTGTACCCCCCCACTCTGTACCCACCCCACTCTGTACCCCCCCACTCTGTACCCCCCCACTCTGTACCCCCCCCCCCCCACTCTGTACCCACCCACTCTGTACCCCCCCCACTCTGTACCCCCCCCCTTTCCAGTTCTGCACTGCGGGGCCCCCCGGGGTGCGCTCCCCCACCGCGGCGGCTGCCGCGTCGCGCCTCTGCAGCTCCGTGCTAGAGTCGTACGAGCGCTTCTGCTCCCGTCCCCCCAAAGGTGCGGAGAGCGAGGGGGCGCGGAAGGGGGGACACTGTAGTCGCTGGGACCCCTGTAGTTAATGGGATACTTGTAGTTTAGGGATCCCTGTAATCACAGGGACCCCAGGGATGTTCACCAGTTAGAGAAGCTTGTGGGACCGTGTGGTGGTGCCACTGCTGTGAAACACCGATGATGATGCTGAGCATAATGATACTGACAATAATAATGATTGATAATGCCACAGAGGATGATTATAATGTTGCTGCTGAAGATCATGATGCTGATGAGGATGCTAAAGATTATAAATATGATTGATGATGGTGCTCAGGATGATTACAATGATGTTGCTGAGAACAATGATGGTACCCTGATTATGATGATGATAACGATGCTGCTCCTGCTGAGGATGATATTTTGAAGCTGATCATGTTTGATTATAATTGCTGTGGATAATGATGATCATGATAACGATTACTACGCCGCTGCTGAAGCTGCTGCTGCTGCTCATGATGATGCCGATGCTTCCGTTTCAGGGTTCGAAAAATACTTCCCGGGGGGAAACAAACCCGACGGCAAGACCAACGCACCGGCCAGCAAGCCCGGTACATTACTGCCAGACGTCGGAGGGATGGGACGGTGGGGGGGGGGCACTTCACAATAAACCCCCTTTAATGCTGTCGTCACGGCGACTAATGAGCGTTATCCGTTACACAGAGGCGGAGAACAGTGCCGGGGCGGCACGGAGAACCAAGAGCAGCAGCGGAGGTGATGGGGGCGGCAGCGGCGGCGGTGGGAACGGTGACGGGGGCGCCGGAGGAGGAAGAAAGGGTGGAGGTCGCAAGGACGACTCGTGGTACTCCAGGGTGCAGAAGGTGAGCGCCGTTGCCACGGGAACCATGTTACCCTGGCAACAGTCTCCATAGAGACCGGCTGCCCTGGCGACAAGGCAACACAATGGCAAGTGTTTCTGTTCCTGCTCCTGCCGCCTCCTTTACGGCAACAGCTGCCAAATTTGACAAATTGCTCGCCAATAGATAAATCCACACAGTGGCATATCCTCCCATCTGTGCAACGTAGCGTTGTTGTCAAATAGCCTTGCGCTGTAACATTGATGCGAATACCAAACGTGCTCGATTATATTGAGAATGCCCGTGACATTTTGACCCCCGTGACCCTCGTGCGACCCCCCTCAACCCGGCAGGGCGAGTTCCCGTGGGACGACAAGGAGTTCCGCTCATACCTGTTCCTGACCGCGGCGGCATGGGCCGGCGGCATCTACTACTTCTTCCTACGCGACGTCTACCGCGAGATCAGCTGGAAGGAGTTCCTCAACCTCTACCTCGCCAAAGGCGCCGTGAGTCGCCATGAAAACGACCCGTAGTGGTGGGGGGGGAAACTCGCAACTGTGGTCGTGGCGATGGTTATTGCGACGGTCGAGGAGATGGTGGTTTGCGAAGGTGGTGATTGTGGTTGTGATGGCAGAGCTGGTGGCTGTGTTGTTGGTAGTGGTGGTGGACGCGAGTAGGGATTTTGATCATTGTGATGGTTGAGACTTTGGTGGTTCTCGTGCCGATGATGAGCGATGATGGTGGCAGCAATGACGATGGTGCTGATGGTGATGTTGTGATCCACCCTGCAGGTCGAGCGGCTGGAGGTAGTGAATAAGCACTACGTGAGAGTCGTCCTCCACCCCGACCAGGCTAGTCTTGATGGGGTGAGTCGTGTGCTGGGTTGCGTCTGTGAAACTGCGTCGATTCATCGACAAGCATCGATTCTTGACCTCACGAGACACCTGCTGCCCCTTAGAGTGCCGTGCCGGCCTTCACAGGCCCTTGTGTGTGGAGCAGTGGTGCAGCGGTCCTTGGCCTCCTCTAGGTCGACTCATCTTTAAATGAGTACATGGTGCAGTGTGTAAACATCGCCACAAGAGAGACAAAGGTGGCCGGGCGCTTGCTGTGCCGGCCTTGCCCCAATACTCGATGAAGGTTATAAGGGAGCCTTTGTCTTGTGTGTGCGTACAGGCCCAGCTGTGGTTCACCATCGGCAGTGTGGACACGTTTGAGCGGAACCTGGAGACGGTGCAGCAGGAGATGGGGCTGGAGCCCGAGCAACGCGCGTCGGTCATCTACACCACGCAGTCCGACGGGTGCCTCCCCGCCACCCCCCACTCCCCTCGCCTCTCACCACACGCGTCCCCCGTGCCTCCCCGTGTTCCCGCGTCCCCCGTGACCCCTCGTCTCCCCGTGTCCCCCGTGCAGCTCGTTCCTGCTCAGCATGCTGCCCACGGTCCTCATCATCGGGCTGCTTCTCTTCTCCATGCGCCGGGGCCCCATGGGCGCGCGGCGTGGGGGCCGTGGCATGGGCGGCCTCTTCAGCGTGGGGGAGACCACGGCCAAGGCAGGTCTCGCCATGCGCTGCCGGCCACGGCGCACGCCCTCATTGCGCGCCGACCGACGTCGCGCTCGACCCACGCGTCGTTACCCCCCGCCCCCGGCCCTGCTCGGCCCGAGCCGGATTCGGACAGCTTGCGAAGTCGGCATAGCCAAGTTTTTAATCCGGAAAACGGCCGACGGAAAGCCACACGTGCCGTTAGGTTCCCGCGGTGGCTCGGCTCTGTTGTGCCATCGAAAAAGGGGCACGACCGCGTCGGCCCCCGCTGGCAAACGGGCAAGCGAACAAACGGGCGCCGCGTTGTGCTGCCCCCCTGGCGCAGGTGATGCGCGACGAGATTGACGTGACCTTCAAGGACGTGGCCGGGTGCGAGGAGGCGAAGGTGGAGATCATGGAGTTCGTCAACTTCCTGCGCCACCCCAAGCAGTACCAGGACCTGGGCGCCAAGATCCCCAAGGTGCGGCGAGGTCAGAGGTCATGGTTCGAGGCGGCCTCCTCGATCACCCAGTCGATTATCAGTTCCATTGCTCGGCAAATGGGACAGCAAGAGAAGCATGGTGGGTGAGCGTTTATTGAGTGTGGTGAGCGAGCGTCATAGAGGTGAGCGTGGTGAGTGAGTGTGGTTCGTTGGTGAGCACACTGAGTGGGCGAGTGAGTGGCGAGTGAGCGTGGCGGGTGAGCAGACTAGCGTGGCGGGTGAGCGTGGCGGGCGGGCGAGTGAGCGTGGCAGGTGAACGGGAGAGTGCGTGTGTCGCAGGGAGCGATCCTGACGGGTCCGCCCGGCACTGGGAAGACGCTGCTGGCCAAGGCCACGGCGGGGGAGGCGAACGTCCCCTTCATCACCGTCAACGGCTCCGAGTTCCTCGAGATGTTCGTGGGGGTCGGCCCCGCCAGGGTGGGTGTAGGCAGCCGCACGCACCGCTCCACATAGGGCAACAACAGCCACCATTCGCCACTAAGTGGCGGAGATGTCATCACGGCGCTTGTGCCGGGCTCGGTGCACTTTGAGGCCACGTGAAGTGTCGAAGGCTCCGCTGGCAGGAGGTCACGGGACACACCCAGGTGCCATGGGACTGAGATGCCTGGTAGATAGATGCACCACCTGTGCTTCCAACTGTGCCAACTTGCTGCATTTTAGCCGCCCTGCGCTCTGCTCGTTGTTGTGAGCGCACTGCACGAGCCTCCTCCATCGAGGCTGATCTTGATTGCTGGTTCCAGTCTTCGGCAAGTCCACTCAGCTCCATGTCTTTTCTAGGTTTGCTGTCCCTCCCCACACCTCCTCACTCTTCTCTCCCCCTCTGCCCCACTCACCCTGCCGCCTCCACAGGTGCGTGATATGTTCCAGCTGGCGCGGAAGAATGCTCCGTGCATCCTCTTTATCGACGAGATCGACGCGGTCGGGCGCAAGCGCGGCCGCGGGAACTTTGGGGGCCAGAGCGAGCAGGAGAACACGCTCAACCAGCTGCTCGTGGAAATGGACGGTACTGCCGGCCCAGCCAGCCCAGCCAGTCCACGGTTACAGAGCCACCGCGCGCCGCGGTCTCACCCAGCGTGCCCTGGGCCTGGCCGCGACGGTTCCCATCGTGTCAGAATGGCCGTCCTGGCGGTGTTCCCCAGAAAAATGAAAACCGCGATTCAACCCCAAATGTTCTGGCCTCGTTCCATTTAGGGCTCCTCAGCACAGGCCTGCTAAACAAATACCAGTGGTTTATAGGATGTTGTTATTGGTGAGCACACTCCCTCAGCATTGTGAGAGTGAGGATTAATTTTCCTCCGATTCGTGCGTGCGCTGTGTAATGAGTTCACGTCGTCTCTGTAGCCGCTGAAAGGCTCCACCAATGGTCGCAACGAAAATTGTAAAAAATTAGCGAGTGTTGAATCGAGTCGTGACAATTTGTGGAATCGGCGGGTGGGAGAATCGTCTTCCGCTGCTGCTCGCTACGTTGCGTCGCACACAGTCGGCGTCCGTCCACGTCGACGCCGCATTAAGAGGTCAAATCTGTCACGACGTGTCTCCGCGTTGGGACGCAGGCTTCAACACGACCACCAACGTGGTGGTGTTGGCTGGGACGAACCGCCCCGACATCCTCGACCCCGCGCTGCTGCGGCCTGGACGCTTCGACCGGCAAATCTTTGTCGGTACGTGCGCACACGCGAGTACGCACACACGTGCATGCGTATGCACAAATACATGTACGCACGTACATACGCGCACGTATATGCATTCGTGCGTACGTATACACGCACGTGCACACATGCATGCGCGCAAAAATACACACGCACACAAATGCATGCACACTAACACACAACAACACCCGCCATTCGCCACTAAGTGGCAGTGATGTCACCATGGCGCCTGTTCCAGGCCCACTATGATACACACGCATGTACACACGCATGTACACACGCATGTACACACGCATGTACACACGCATGTACACACGCATGTACACATGGAAATGCACACAGGTGCCTGCCGTTTTAATATTGTTTTACCGGGAGTCACGCAATCTGGGGGAAGGGGCCTGAAGCGTGGGGGCGGCTCGCTCGCTCGCTCACCCTGAAGGCCACGCGGTTTCGCTGCAGGGGCCCCGGATATCAAAGGCCGCGCCTCCATCTTCAAGGTCCACCTGAAGCCGCTCAAGACAGAGCTGGCGCTCGACAAGGCCGCCATCTCCCGCAAGCTCGCCGCCCTCACGCCCGGCTTTACAGGTCAGCGGTCGGCGACGCGCCCGCCGTGTGGTGACGCAGGAAGCCGATTGGCTGTTTGCCAACGTGTGTTGGGGTCATGTTGCCGCGTGTCGTTCGGCACGATGTCGCTGGCCACCAGTGTCCTTCGCGGGCAATAAGAGCCTTTCCCAGACTTTATGCGTCCGGGTTCGATCTCTTGGACATGTGATGAGGAAGCCAGAGACTGAATATGAATGGATTTTCACTGAAAACATCATAGAAGCCGGGGAAGACAGCGAATTAAGTTGCACGGGCAAATACAGTTGGATGCAACTGGGAGCAGCCGACGCGAAGTTGTTGAGTAAATATCATGGACAGAGCCACGTGGAAGGAAGGTCACAATCGCCGACATCTTTTAGAAAGGAAGTAGCACAGAGGGAGAGGCGGCTGGCTGCTGGGTGCTTGTGGTTTGACGCCTCGACGATTGTGGGAGCCGTAACCTTACTTTCTGCTTTCTGACCCTCTCACTCCGTGTGCTGTGACCCCGAATCCCTGGCCGAGCAGGTGCGGACATTGCGAATGTGTGTAACGAGGCGGCGCTCATTGCGGCACGGCACCTGAACGAGGCGATCAGCGAGAAGCACTTTGAGCAGGCCATTGAGCGGGTCATCGGAGGTGAGGGGGGGGAGGGAGGAGGGCTGTGTGTGCGAGTAGGGTGTGTGTGTGTGTGTGCGCGTGTATGTGCGCGTGTGTGTGCATGTGTGTGTGTTTCACCGTCGTCGCCAGGGCGGTGACGTGGCCCAGCGGGAGCGTGTTCGCCGTTCTGATCTGGAAGCCACCCCGGTTAATGCTGCGGTGTGGTGTTAACCGTACAACACTACGTCTACTACGCGCCGTCTGCTTCACTCACGGTGGACGTGAAAGATCCCGTGACGTCATTCGCAAGAGCGGGCCGCAGTTTGCCGGCGTCACGGTCCAAATTTGCCAAAATTTGTAAAACGACACCGTAAATTGCTGGATTGGCATTCACCTGAAACTTGCCTGACCTCGCGCCTGTGACCCCTAGGGTTGGAGAAGAAGACACAGGTGCTGCAGCCGGAGGAGAAGCGCACGGTGGCATACCACGAGAGCGGCCACGCCGTCGCCGGGTGGTACCTGGAACACGCCGACCCCCTCCTCAAGGTGAGTGGGAGGCAGAGTGAGGGGCACCGGGGTTGGGGGGGGCGGTGGGCAAGGGGGGGGGGGCATGGGTGGGTGTCGTGATGGACAGTCAGGCAGGGGTGAATAGGACTGTTAAATACCTTTGGCGGGCAACCACACTTCAGCTGCTGGAAGATGCATTTGCACATATGTAGACACGCACAGCAACAATAACAGGCGCAAAATCACCTCGAGGTGGCATTTACGTCACAGCAGCCCTTGTGCCAGGCTAGGTGCTTTAAGGGGGCTATGAGTGTGGAAGGTTTTCTGCTGGCAGGAGGTTACGGGACAGACGCAGGTGCCATGGGTTGACTGACCGAAATGACTGGCAGATGTACCAACTGTGCCCCCCCTCTGCCACCTTGCTGTGTTTAGCCGCTCGGCGCTCCGCTCGTTGTTGTGAGCACCGCTCCTCCCTCCACATACATACGTGCTTGTGTACGCCTATACATACCGTGAATGAATTGCAGGAAGTGGTAGTAGAGTGGTTAGCACACTTCGCGACGAACCCAGCGACCCGAGTTAAATTCCTGCTCACGACCAATATCAGTGGCAAATATTTTAACTGATCCTGGACCTCCCCTAGGTCAATTCAACCTCAAATGAGTACCTGGTGTGGTATGTAAACATTAGGGATACAAACACGGTCGGGCGTGGTGCCATGCCATCCTTCAAAGGTGCTGCTCACTAACAGTGTTCAAGGCTATACGGGGGGGATCTTTTACTCGCGTCGTACCGTGCGTGTATCTGTCTGTCTATCGCCTCCCCCCTGCCTCCGCCCTATGGCAGGTGTCCATCATCCCGCGGGGCAAGGGCTTGGGCTACGCCCAGTACCTGCCCAAGGAGCAGTACCTGTACTCGCAGGAGCAGCTCTTTGACCGCATGTGCATGACGCTGGGCGGCCGAGTGGCCGAGCAGCTCTTCTTTGGCCGAATCACGACGGGAGCGCAGGACGACCTCCGCAAGGTTACGCAGAGCGCCTACGCGCAGGTACGCGCTCGCCGCACCCCGTCACTCTGCCGCCCTCCTCCGACCCACAATGCACCACCCTTGTACTCAGAATGCACTGCTGTTTTCTACCCAGTGTAATGTCCTTCTTCTCACAATGAACCGCCCTACTACCCATAATACTATTGTTATTTTCCACCCAGAGTGTACCGCCCTTCTATCTTCAAGTACTTCCCTTCCACCCACAATGTTCCACTCTTTTCCTGCCCACGATGCATTCCCTTTCTCCCGAGTTTACATTTACGCACAGTTTAAGCAATTGGCGGGACCCCGGGGTCCCATCACTGCCCCGGGGTGGGAAAAACCGCGTAGCGACACGAGTCTTGCCTTACCGACAACAAAACTAGTGTCAATCGATTGGCCTCGTCGAGAGCTACTCGGGACACTAAGTTTCGTAAAAAGTTGAAAAATTACATAAACACGTTAAATTCACTGCGGGGGCGGGCTCGCCTTGGCAAAGAAGCTGAGGATCGACGGCTGACCGGAGGGCGTTGTCGCCGCGCGCGACTGCGGCAGACGCCCGGGCTGCGTTTGGCCGGTGGGGTGGCGCCCATCGTGTTGATCGTCGCCTGCTGGCGCTTGTTGGCGCGAGTCTGGGTGGGCGGCACGTTGCTGTCGTCGTCCAACTCGGCGAGATTGGGCGGGATGGCTGGATAGTAGTCAAGGCACAAGTGGGCGGACTGAAAAATAATAATTTATTGACCTGATTTTTGCGGGACCCTGTGGTCCCGCCAAATGATTCAGTTGTCCGAGATGGATGCTGGGAATTTCGGGTGCGATACAAGCATCAGTAGTTTGCTCCGTCTCGATCTAATTGTTTATCTCGTTATGGTGTCCGTCGGTTTTGTCCGTTGCAGTCCAGCGGTGCCAGCTCGGCGCTCTCACCTCAGAGCCACCCGGCCGCTGCTCCTAGTGCTGCTCTCTTCGCTGCTGTTAACTGTGGTGCCATTGCTGAGCGCCGTTGCCGCTGCCGTTACGTCTTCCGTCAACCCTTTGTGGCGGCGCTCCCCGCTCCCTGCTGGTGCCCTCCGTCGTGCGTGCGCAGATCGTGCAGTTCGGGATGAACGAGAAAGTGGGGCAGGTGTCGTTCAAGATGCCACGGGAAGACGACATGCTGATGGAGAAGCCGTACAGCGAGGCGACGGCGCGGCTCATCGACTCGGAGGTCCGAGAGCTCATCAACAAGGCGTACGTGCACACCATGGAGCTGCTCACCAGCAAGAAGGACGACATCGAGAAGGCGAGTCCACTAGGTCGTCCGGTCACGTCGGGTTGGGCTTCAAGGTCGCGGTCGGGTCGGGTCGGGCCGCCACGGTTTTCTCGGCAGAACCAAGCCACTCGGAGCGGTGAGGGGGCCGCCAACGATGCTTCCATTGGGAACCTCGGCAGAACTCGCTTGGCGTTTGCCAGCGGCCTTCAGTTGACCTCCGCTTCATCGGATTGTCTCGGCACGGCGACCCCGCACGGTCTCAGAGGAGTTTGTGCTTGGGTGGGCAGCTACCACCAAGCACAAAGGACAGGTTTAGTAAGAGGCGTCGTGGGCAGCAGTGGGCAGTGCTGCAACATCTATTGTTGTTCTGGACTCCCCCCCCCCCCCCCCCACCACCTTTACCAACACGTAGTGACCAGCATGGTGAAGTATGGACAAACACCCCTCACGGTCTCACAAGGCATGGGAGAGGCTGCTTATCATCGTCCTGGCGACCAACCGTTGTTATTCAGAGCAGCAGTGTCTGACAGTTGCCGTGGCATCTCCGTGGCTCTCTCTCCCCCCAGATCGCCCAGCGGCTCCTGGAGAAGGAGGTGCTGAACAAGGCGGACATGGTGGAGCTGTTGGGCCCTCGCCCGTTCGCTGAGAAGTCGACGTACGAGGAGTTTGTGGAGGGGACGGGCAGCCTAGAGGAGGACACCTCGCTGCCCGAGGGCCTCCGGGACTGGAACCGCGACCGGCAGCCGCCAGCGGAGGGCGCGGCCGGAGAGACGGGGGGCGGCACGGACGGCGACGGGAAGCTGGTGCCGCCGCCTGTGTGTTTGGGGGGTGGGGAGGGGGGCGTGCGATGGGTGCAGGTAACCACCCACCTCCCCCACCGTGGGGAACGTGGGGGGGGGGGCGGTGTTTTAGGTGCACTCTTGCCACCCATGTGTGTGTGTGAGTCCTGGGTGTGAGTGCACGTGTTTGTGAATGGGTGCGAGTGTGCAATTAGGTATGGGTGTGTGCGATTTGAGTCAGTATGTGTGTGCAAGTGCACGTGTGTGAATGTGTGTGTGGGGGTAATGTTATGTGTGCATGTGAATAGGAACTTGCTAACAGCACTTGCCCCAAGTGCAGTCTGCCAAAGACTACATAGGGGGGTCTGTATGTGTGTGAGCATCTTTGTGGTTTGTGTGGATCTGTGAGTGTGATGGTCATCTTGTGTCGGTGCAGTGTAATCAACCATGCCCCCCCCCCCCCCACAACCTGAGCGTGTGCGGTTGTGAGTGACCTTGGGGAGCGGTAGTATTACGGACAGCGCGCTGCGCTACGAATCCGACGATGCGAGTTCGATTCCCGCTCGTGGCACACACCGGTGACGATTATCTGAACCGCGCCTCTGCTAGGTCGACTCAGCCTCAAATGAGTCCCTGGTGAGATGTGTAAAACATCTCCACAAGGAAGACAAAGGTGGCCGGGCGTGGTGCCTGCCACCCACCCCCTTTGTGTGCCATGCCGGCCTTCATAGGTCCTCGCCAACAGTACTTGCCCCAGCAGTCTGTTAAGGCTTTATGGGGGATCTTTGTGTGACTGAACGAATTGGCACACACTTGGGTTTGAATGTACGGGACGATAATTTCACTCCGAGTGGCAGCTCACGGAACCCACGTCTGTCACGGTTATCGAGCACTCTCTGCTCCTTTTGGCTTTGTTCTAAATTCACTCGGAGTCACTCTTAGGCTGGGGCCGCCTTACCCGACCGGCCAATCACCGGACGTCTTCCTAGGCGATCCGATCGTTTCCCTCGTCACTGGCTCACCCGTGGCGTTCTACAGCCCAGAGAAGTTAACGTTTTGTGTAGAGTTTTATCAGGGGAATATTTACTAATGGCGTTCTATCGTAGCGGCGGTCGCCACTGAGTTCACGCTGTGTGTATATACGGGGAGCGGCGTTGTGTCTGCGTTGTGTGTCTGCGTTCTGCGTTACATGCCGCCGTCACACACCCACGCACGCACCTAGCAGTGTCGCCGTTGATTTTTGCGCAAATAAACAAACTTGAGAAATCGCTGTGGTCTGGCTGAGTGCGTTCTTGGTTTTCGTCACAAAGGAATAGGGGCATGTAAATGACTGCAAGCTACATATATGCACTACACCCAGATGTTAAAAATAGTTACTCAGGAGAGCCACACTCGTTTTCAGGAGGGTCCTGCTGGTACATTGGATTTTTATCTAAAATGTTTTCAGCTTTTAATGATGTTGATACACGTGGGAGGAAATCCGCGTGCGCGAGAGGGCAACACTACCCCCGTACAGATGGTGATTAGTCCCCTTGCTGTACTGCCTTCTGGCGAGTCGGGGTACTGCACTTTAATCGCTAAATTATTGTCATTTGTCCGATCCACCAACCCTCCCTGCTGCCTCCACGGCTGGGTTCTAGGCAGCCAGCCGCGTGTAGCGCAGCCACCACGTGGCGCAGTCTCCTAACGAGAGTCGAGGCTATCGCGTTCGAAGAGAATCCACTGAAATACAAAACGAGCGTGGTGGCAGTGGTGACCCAGCAGCGATGTAATAATAATGGCAGCGGGGTGTTCGTGTCGAGACGAACTCCGTGAGACAGCGGAACGGAGCCTTGCCCCTCGGAGAGGGCGCGACCAGCAGTCACCTCGATACCGGGGACGTAAACATGCATCATCGATCGATCCATCGATTATTATCGATTTTAAGCTCACATTACACGCGAATACTCCACACACAAGTGGTGGATACAATATTCCTGTACATCGGTGTCGCGTTCGCTTATCACGCGCGTATCTCTGTATGTGTGACCTCTGTGTGACCTCTGTGTATGTGACCTCGTGTGTGTGTGACCTCCAGCTCGCCTTTGCTTATTGTTTATTCATGGCGCCTTCTCGCCCTGTGGAGCCGAGCTCGCAGGCTCGAGACTTTTAGGCAGCTCCTGCCAAGGCGTCTCTCTCGGCAGGGGGCGATGTTGCTCCGTGGAGTGTTCGCTCCGAACGAGTCATGGGATGGTTATTTTCCAGATTTTGGCTACTTTGGTCGACGCCGGGTTGACATTACGTGGTGGATGTTTTTGTTTAGCGATGGAAACCGGAGGACAGGGGAGAGAGAATGCAAACTCGACCCAGCAATGCGCCCGAGTCGGGAATCGAACGCAGGACCTTGCACGAGTGTCAGCACTGCCGCTCCTGTTGTTGTTATTGTGGAGGGAGCCCTGCTCTCCTGTTGTTGTTGTGGAGTGAGCTCTCCTGTTGTTGTTGTGAAGTGATCCCTGCTCTCCCGTTGTTGTTGTTGTTGTGGAATGATCCCTGGTCTCATGTTGTTGTTGTGGAGTGAGCCCTGCTCTCCTGTTGTTGTTGTGGAGTGATCCCTGCTCTCCTGTTGTTGTTGTGGAGTGAGCCCTGCTCTCTTGTTGTTGTTGTTGTGGAGTGAGCCCTGCTCTCTTGTTGTTGTGGAGTGAGCCCTGCTCTCCTGTTGTTGTTGTTGTTGTGGAGTGAGCCCTGCTCTCTTGTTGTTGTTGTGGAGTGATCCCTGCTCTCTTGTTGTTGTTGTTGTGGAGTGATCCCTGCTCTCTTGTTGTTGTTGTTGTGGAGTGAGCCCTGCGCTCCTGTTGTTGTTGTTGTGGAGTGAGCCCTGCTCTCCTGTTGTTGTTGAGTGAGCCCTGCTCTCCTGTTGTTGTTGTGGAGTGAGCTCTGCTCTCCTGTTGTTGTTGTGGAGTTATCCCTACTCTCTTGTTGTTGTTGTGGAGTGAGCCCTGGTCTCCTGTTGTTGTTGTTGTGGAGTGAGCCCTGCTCTCCTGTTGTTGTTGTGGAGTGAGCCCTGCTCTCCTGTTGTTGTTGTGGAGTGAGCTCTGCTCTCCTGTTGTTGTTGTGGAGTGAGCCCTACTCTCTTGTTGTTGTTGTGGAGTGAGCCCTGGTCTCCTGTTGTTGTTGTTGTGGAGTGAGCCCTGCTCTCCTGTTGTTGTTGTTGTGGAGTGAGCCCTGCTCTCTTGTTGTTGTTGTGGAGTGATCCCTGCTCTCCTGTTGTTGTTGTTGTGGAGTGAGCCCTGCTCTCTTGTTGTTGTTGTTGTGGAGTGAGCCCTGCTCTCTTGTTGTTGTTGTGGAGTGATCCCTGCTCTCCTGTTGTTGTTGTGGTGGAGTGAGCTCTCCTGTTGTTGTGGTGGAGTGAGCTCTGCTCTCCTGTTGTTGTTGTGGAGTGATCCCTGCTCTCCTGTTGTTGTTGTGGAGTGATCCCTGCTCTCCTGTTGTTGTTGTGGAGTGAGCTCTGCTCTCCTGTTGTTGTTGTTGTGGAGTGAGCTCTGCTCTCTTGTTGTTGTTGTGGAGTGAGCCCTGCTCTCCTGTTGTTGTTGTTGTGGAGTGAGCCCTGCTCTCCTGTTGTTGTTGTGGAGTGATCCCTGCTCTCCTGTTGTTGTTGTTGTGGAGTGAGCTCTGCTCTCTTGTTGTTGTTGTGGAGTGATCCCTGCTCTCCTGTTGTTGTTGTTGTTGTGGAGTGACCCCTGCTCTCCTGTTGTTGTTGTTGTGGAGTGAGCCCTGCTCTCCTGTTGTTGTTGTGGAGTGACCCCTGCTCTCCTGTTGTTGTTGTTGTGGAGTGAGCTCTGCTCTCCTGTTGTTGTTGTTGTGGAGTGAGCTCTGCTCTCTTGTTGTTGTTGTTGAGTGAGCCCTGCTCTCCTGTTGTTGTTGTTGTGGAGTGAGCTCTGCTCTCTTGTTGTTGTTGTTGTGGAGTGAGCTCTGCTCTCTTGTTGTTGTTGTGGAGTGAGCCCTGCTCTCCTGTTGTTGTTGTTGTTTTTGTGGAGTGAGCCCTGCTCTCCTGTTGTTGTTGTTGTGGAGTGAGCCCTGCTCTCTTGTTGTTGTTGTTGTTTTTGTGGAGTGAGCTCTGCTCTCTTGTTGTTGTTGTTGTGGAGTGAGCTCTGCTCTCTTGTTGTTGTTGTGGAGAGAGCCCTGCTCTCCTGTTGTTGTTGTTTTTGTGGAGTGAGCCCTGCTCTCTTGTTGTTGTTGTTTTTTGTGGAGTGATCCCTGCTCTCCTGTTGTTGTTGTGGTGGAGTGAGCTCTGCTCTCTTGCTGTTGTTGTTGTTGTTGTTGAGTGAGCCCTGCTCTCCTGTTGTTGTTGTTGTGGAGTGAGCCCTGCTCTCCTGTTGTTGTTGTTGTTGTGGAGTGAGCCCTGCTCTCTTGTTGTTGTTGTGGAGTGAGCCCTGCTCTCCTGTTGTTGTTGTTGTGGAGTGAGCTCTGCTCTCTTGTTGTTGTTGTGGAGTGATCTCTGCTCTCCTGTTGTTGTTGTGGAGTGATCTCTGCTCTCCTGTTATTGTTGTTGTGGAGTGAGCTCTGCTCTCCTGTTGTTGTTGTTGTGGAGTGAGCTCTGCTCTCCTGTTATTGTTGTTGTGGAGTGAGCCCTGCTCTCTTGTTGTTGTTGTTGTGGAGTGAGCCCTGGTCTCCTGTTGTTGTGGAGTGAGCTCTGCTCTCCTGTTGTTGTTGTTGTTGTGGAGTGAGCTCTGCTCTCCTGTTGTTGTTGTGGTGGAGTGAACCCTGCTCTCCTGTTGTTGTTGTTGTTGTGGAGTGAGCTCTGCTCTCCTGTTGTTGTTGTTTGTTCGCCTCGCGCCACCCCCCACCCTCCGCGCTCCGCGCATGCGCAGTGCAGCGCGAGAAGGCGAGCTCCGCCGCTTCAGCTCCCTCCCTCTCCACACATCTCCTCCTCCTCGTCTCCTCCACCTCTTCTCCTCCTCCACCTCGTCTCCTCCTCCTCGTCTCGGCGCGGGTGGCGCGGTGAGGGATGCGGCTCCGCGCGAGCCCTGCCCGGCCCCGTCCCCGGCTCCGCGCCCGAGCCCGGGGACCCCGAGCGGCTCCTCCTGCCTGCGCGTGCCAGCCGCTCCCTCCCGGCCTCACCCTCCCCTACCCGGCCTGACCCTCCCCGTCCAGCAGCCTCGCGCCGCGTCCACACCCCCAGGGCATACCTCCTCCCCGAGCCTCACCCATCCACCTCTCCCAACCCGACCTGATCCCCCCCCCGTCCACTCCTCCACGAGCCATCCCAGCCTCACCCATCGCCTCTCACTCGCCCAACCCTCTCTTCTCCCACCCCTCCCGATCCACATCTCTCCCTCCCATTCTGATTCAATTTACGATCCACCCCCTGATCCACCCCCTGATCCACGGCCTCTCTCCCTCCCTGGCGTGCCGCGTCTCGTCGCGCCGCCCGCGGGATGCCCGCTCAGTGCGAGCTGTAGCCCGGGCCGGGAACCAACCTCGCCGATTCGCGCTCGCCCCGAGCCTCCTCCAATCTTCCGGATCGGCTTCATCCCAGCCCCCCAACCTCTCCATCTCAAGGCCCAATTCCTGTTCCTCACATAGCTGCGAGTCCCCTGCCACCCTGACCCCGTGTCCCCGGGCTCCCCGCGATGGAGGCTGCGACCCCATGGGCCCCGCGCCTCGCTCTGCTCCTCCTCCTGCTGCTGCTGCTGCTCCTAGGGGTGGAGCCGTCGCCCTTCAGCGTGGAGGTGAGCGGCCCCCCTCCCACCCCGAGTCTCCCTCCCGAGTTCAGGCCCCCCGCGTCTGGCCTGTGGTAGCAGGGGGCATCATCATCATCATCAGTATGCGTGGCGTGGCGTCCGGCTGGCGTGTGCTACCGGACACCCGACGGTGGCGGAGTGCCGAGTGTGGGGTGACGAGGGGGTGTGGGGTGACGTGGGGGTGTGGGGTGGCGTGGGGGTGTGGGGTGACGTGGGGGTGTGGGGTGACGTGGGGGTGTGGGGTGACGTGGGGGTGTGGGGTGACGAGGGGGTGTGGGGTGACGTGGGGGTGTGGGGTGACGTGGGGGTGTGGGGTGACGTGGGGGTGTGGGGTGACGAGGGGGTGTGGGGTGACGAGGGGGTGTGGGGTGACGAGGGGGTGTGGGGTGACGTGGGGGTGTGGGGTGACGTGGGGGTGTGGGGTGACGTGGGGGTGTGGGGTGACGTGGGGGTGACGAGGGGGTGTGGGGTGACGAGGGGGTGTGGGGTGACGAGGGGGTGTGGGGTGACGAGGGGGTGTGGGGGTGACGAGGGGGTGTGGGGTGTGACGAACTGTGTGTGTGGTGTGACGAACTGTGTGTGTGGTGTGACGAGGGTGTGTGTGGTGTGACGAGGGTGTGTGGTGTGACGAACTGTGTGTGTGGGGTGACGAGGGGGTGTGGGGTGACGTGGGGGTGTGGGGTGACGAGGGGGTGTGGGGTGACGAGGGGGTGTGTGTGTGGGGTGTTCTCTGTGTGTGCAGTGATAAGTGGTGTGTTAGGTGAGTGGTTTGTGGTACGAGGCGCGGCGTGCGGTGTGTGCTGTGGTGTGTTGTGTGTTGAGGTGTGCTGTGCTGTGTTGTGGTGTTGTGTGTTGAGGTGTGTGTTGTGTGTTGAGGTGTGTTGTGATGTGTTGAGGTGTGTTGTGGTGTGTTGAGGCGAATATTGTGGTGTGTGTTGTGGTGTGTGTGTGATGTGTGTTGTGGTGTGTGTGTGGTGTGTGTTGTGGTGTGCAGTGTGTGTTGTGATGTGTGTTGTGGTGTGTGTTGTGATGTGTGGTGTGTGATGTGTGTTGTGATGTGATGTGTGTTGTGATGTGTGTTGTGGTGTGTGATGTGTGTTGTGATGTGGTGCGTGTTGTGTGGTGTGTGATGTTGTGTTGTGATGTGTGGTGTGTGTTGTGATGTCGTTGGTACAGTGGGGAGCACGCGGGGTGCAACTGCCGGTCATTTCGGTCACTTAACCCATGGCACCTGGGTCTGTCCCGTGATTTCCCGGCAGCGGCTGTGCTTGTTGATGTAGTTACGTGTAGTGCTGCGTAGTGTCTCTATGTGGTAGCATAGTGTGGTGCACGCTGTATTCTGAGTTCTCAGCGATCCGTCCCTTTATACGCGTCTGTGTTTTTGCATGGGGAGCGGTGGTGCAGTGGTTAGGAGCTGCGCAATTGAATCTGGCGACCCAAGTTCAATTCACTGCCAACATCGGTGACATATCTGAACCGGTTATGGGCCTCCCCACTTGGGAGACAAAGGCGGCCAGGCGTGGTGTTGGCCACCCATCCCGTCGTGCATGGTTCCGGCCTGCATAGGTGTTTGCTAACAGCACTTGCCCCAAAAGTCTGTTAAGGCTATCCGGGGGATCTGTGTCTGTGCGTGTCGCCAAGTGTCGCGGTGGCTGCTGTCCGCTCACAATGCACCGCAGCTCCTCCAGCTCCCCGTGTGTGTCTCGTGCAATAAAGATGGCTGCTTCCACATGTTCACATTAACCCTCTCCTCCTCCACCTCGCACGGGGTAGCAGCGGTGTTCTGCTGAGGTTGTTAACAAAAGGTGCGGGCGCAAAGCAATCACAATGCGGGACACGAGACCGTGGGTGGCACACGGGCGCGCCGTGATGAATGAGCTGCTGTGTGTGTGTGGAGGTGGTAGAGAGATGTGTGTGCCGACCGTGCGTGGGTGGGTGGCTGTTTGCCCCGTGGCCTGCTGAGGAAAGAACGCATTATTATAATCATTGTCCACAGCGAGCCGCAGTGTCGCGAAAACACCGCCACCAGAGCTGCTGCACTCTCCATTGCCGCAGCGAGGAAAAGCCGTGGTCCCAGTAGACATCCTCAGCAGGACGTTGACCCAACGTTGGCATTGTTTCCTGGGATCCCGCGTGAATTATTATAACCCAGGCAATCATGAAGATCTCTTGCTTGATCGCACGAGCAATCATGTGACACTTCTTAGTCATTCCTTTGGCTGGGACCACGTGCTCACCACAGGACCACGGCGGTCATCTATTGACCTGTATGGTGCTCATCGAGCAATGATGATGATGCTAATGGCCTTTTCAGGGGTGAGGGGTCAAACCTACTCAGTATTTCAACTGAGACGTTCACCTTTGTACGGGCCCTGCTGCTGCCCTCCTGAGACTCACCGTGGCCTGCCGACACAGACAGGGCCTCCGTCCGTGTGTGTCGTGCAGGGAATGTGTGCAGTCAAAGCTGCGATCAGCTGCAAATAAATCACCATCAACATACACGTGGACGTCCAGTATCACAGCATGAATACAGTGCAGTATATGTTGTGGGTGTTTGCAGGCAGTACTTCCATCTCTCCATACATTAAGTTGTGCAATATTCGGTAAGGACCCAGTACTCGTTCTCTGCTAAATGTACGTTTTTGTCTTTGATTTGCTCACGCACCACGGATCTTCCGTGTCAAATAGCCGGGCAGCTGGCTAAACGACATCACCCCTGTAACAAATCAAAATAAATTATAAATTAAAACACGAGTCAATACTGCTGTTGCCAACCTTTGTCTTTGAGGCGACCGCAGCACGTGTCTAACGAGTCGAACACGTGTCTAACGAGTCGAACACGTGTCTAACGAGTCGAACACGTGTCTAACGAGTCGAACACGTGTCTAACGAGTCGAACACGTGTCTAACGAGTCGAACACGTGTCTAACGAGTCGAACACGTGTCTAACGAGTCGAACACGTGTCTAACGAGTCGAACACGTGTCTAACGAGTCGAACACGTGTCTAACGAGTCGAACACGTGTCTAACGAGTCGAACACGTGTCTAACGAGTCGAACACGTGTCTAACGAGTCGAACACGTGTCTAACGAGTCGAACACGTGTCTAACGAGTCGAACACGTGTCTAACGAGTCGAACACGTGTCTAACGAGTCGAACACGTGTCTAACGAGTCGAACACGTGTCTAACGAGTCGAACACGTGTCTAACGAGTCGAACACGTGTCTAACGAGTCGAACACGTGTCTAACGAGTCGAACACGTGTCTAACGAGTCGAACACGTGTCTAACGAGTCGAACACGTGTCTAACGAGTCGAACACGTGTCTAACGAGTCGAACACGTGTCTAACGAGTCGAACACGTGTCTAACGAGTCGAACACGTGTCTAACGAGTCGAACACGTGTCTAACGAGTCGAACACGTGTCTAACGAGTCGAACACGTGTCTAACGAGTCGAACACGTGTCTAACGAGTCGAACACGTGTCTAACGAGTCGAACACGTGTCTAACGAGTCGAACACGTGTCTAACGAGTCGAACACGTGTCTAACGAGTCGAACACGTGTCTAACGAGTCGAACACGTGTCTAACGAGTCGAACACGTGTCTAACGAGTCGAACACGTGTCTAACGAGTCGAACACGTGTCTAACGAGTCGAACACGTGTCTAACGAGTCGAACACGTGTCTAACGAGTCGAACACGTGTTTTGCCAATGAGTAACAGTAGACTTTTCAATGTCAAAGTGGAGCAAATCGAGCTATGACGTGGAGGGTTGGTTGATGAGTATAGTTTAAGCTCAGTTGTTATACGTTCAAAGTCATATTTCAAGTGTCAATAAACCCTTTAAGTAAACCACGCCAGAGAAGCATACGGGTAATTCAATCTTCTCAAACCCCTCTTTTGTCTCAGGACAATAATGATATGGCGAGTGCGATCGTGATTTATAACGATAATCGTGAAGTGTTTTGCGTGCCGCACGTTTACACACAGACAGCCATCGCCCCTACTGCGACGGCGTGGCAGGACCTTCCTGAAAACGAGTCACGAGACTCGGCGAGGCCTTCCTGGGTTAACTTGCGCAACAATTGACTAAAGACTGCTTGAACTAAAGTCACCCTACGTCAGTTTGTGTGGAGATTGCGCTGTTTTCGATCGTGGTTAAATCAGTGTAACATCCTCCCATCAGGAATCGCCCAAAAATCCAAGATAAGTGTTGAGGTTTTTGTTGTATGAATAACTTATTAATAGTTAACAAAATAAAAGTTTTTTATTAGTTTGAAAGTGATACCCTACTATTTCTAATTGTATTCGTGAATTATGTATATTAAATAGGTGCAGCTGTAGATAAGGTACACATTGTGATACTACTATAGTATAATTCAGATCTTCATGAGGCCCTGCAAAAACACAAATCCAAATAGAAACTGTTTAATATGCTCGTAGCACTGTTGGACGAAGGAGGAGGCATTTTCACAGCGATGCACTCCGCTACTCCTGACGCAATCATCTGGCTCCACCTCAATGTAAAATCACAGCTGTTGCTCTCCATCGAAATCATCCGTATGAAGAAGAAGATGAAGCTCTGTGTTGCCATCAAAGAGTGGTGCTCTCTCAGGGAACTACAATAAAGGTGCTGTGTATTATCGTGCATGCTTGTGTTTTGATTAATCTTCGGACGGGTTAGACAGTGGAAACCTTCAGACCCAATATAGGTTATTTAGGGTATCCAGACAGACGCGGGTATGAAGTGAGGGCTTTTCTCCGGTGCAGTGCAGCAGCGTGGGGCAGTGTGAGGCAGTGATGCTGAAAACTGATGCCTCGGGGTGAGCGACCCTAACGCTGGCGTGATGGCGAGGGGTGGCTGCGTGGGTCAAGCGCCGTTGTTGCAGGTCCAAGTAAGCAGGGGGAATGTAGAAGTGGTAGCGGGCAGCGTGCACGTCGATAGTCAGTGTTGTGAAGCCGACGGAGACGTTGCTTTAGCAAGGGTG